ACTTTTGAACAATACCATCTTTTGTTATAATTTATAATAATTACAAAGTTCTATTTTTTTTACGAAGCACATCTGTAAATTTTTTATTTTCTCTACCAATTTTCGTTTTGTATTCCTTCGTATTTATCATTAAGTCAGAATCGCTGATTTATTGGCTTGACTTGGATACAAAAGTGACATGTGTACTTTCATTTTATTCTGGTTGTACCTACTATCTTAAATAATTGATGATCATCATTAATAAATTAATTAGTCAGTTTATGCGATAAACAATACACTAGTAAAAAAGGGGGGTGTTATTTAAACGGTTATAGCAAAGTAATCGTTATTTTGTTAGTAATATAAATAATTGGTTTGCAAAATAGCTAGTTGGGCAGCAGCTTATGGTCAGCAAATAATTCTAAATCAGTCCGCAATTAATATCATTCTGAACAGCAGTGTTATTTATGTACAGCTATAAATATATAAAAGCTGCATTGAGTGAGACATATACATATAATCGAATTTTGGTAAGCACTCAGAGAGTGAGCAAAACATTCAATTGTGTGTTGCTAATATAAGTCTAGCAAAAATATTATACTAAACGGTAAAAATATACATTATGGTCCGTCGATTTAAGGGGCGGTACCGGGTCAGGGTGGAAGGTGATTACCCCTGTACCCCCAACTCCTCTTCTCCACGAAAAAACATATATTATTTTCATATATAAATTGCAGCCTGATTTTTATTACTGCTAACAAAGTCTTTGTACCTTACCAAATTTTTTTTGGCACACCAACCAATTAGGTATATCTCAAAAAAGGTAGATTCTAATTGTCACATCATATCATAAATAAAGATTCGGAAATATTGTACACAAAAATAGTGTCATGTTTTCAGGCCATCACATCGGCCAAAAGTTATCCCTTTCATTTTGCATGAATTTTGTTTTGTGCTCAGTCCACCGTGTTAGTACTTACTATTTGTCTATACTGTTCTGTGAACTAGAATTAACACCGCCGTAGATTTAATTACCAAGCACGAGTCCATTTAATGATAAATTGAGCTACGAAGCCAGATGAGAGTCAATTGTTCAGTACAATATGTGTCTAGGTACGTCACACAATTTTTTTTTTGTATTACTTACCGTTTTCAAGTTATAAATTGCGCAGGTATGAAAAATCCAATCGAGCGGTTTTGGGCAGTTCAAGTACACATTTGCAGTGCACATTTCAATGTACGTTTTACTATTTTTTATTTTTTTGCATGATTGAAAAACAAAAAAAAATAGTAAAACATGAAAAAAAATAGGTTTTTTTTATTTTTTTTCATGAATGAAAAAAAAATAGTAAAAACGTACATTGAAATGTGCATTGCAAATGTGTACTTGAACTGCCCAAAACCGCTCTATTGGATTTTTACCTGCGCAATTTATAACTTGAAAACGGTAAGTAATACAAAAAAATTGTTTATACAAAAGTTGTTGGTAATTATGTACGGAACAACTTTTCCATTTAAAGTTTTCCATTAAAATGATATATTCAGGGTGAAAAAGTAAAAAAACACTTTTTTTGAGACTTTAAGCGCCACCTACAATGTGCATTTTTTGTTGTACAAGATTGCAACAATGACATAAATTATAGTTCTCAACGCCTTCTACAATTATGGTCGAAAAAAAAGTTTCTAAAATGCATACAAAACAAGAAAAATTCGTTTCAAAAAATTTTTGACGGTTTTTTTGAGTTTTTCAAAAAACGCCTACGAGTTGAACATGCCCATCGCCAAGGTGGCTTACTGACGTCATTTGGCAACAGAAAAAACAAGACTTACCCTTTAGGTTTTTTTTCACCACTCAACCTACAGATTGACTGTACTATTAGCCATAGAGCAACACAGCCGACGCGGCTATGAGGGGAGAAGCTATAATGACATAATACTACTGAAATCATTCTGCCGCTTTTTGCGGGGGGAGGAATAGGCACACAAATGCAGTCCAGCATTTGTGTGCCTATTCCTCACACATAAATCGGACATCGATGAAACTTAAGATTTCTAATTGACAGATTTGAAATTTGTACTGGCGAGTCGATTGTTTTGTCAAATAAGTCCGACGATTGAGTTTTAACAAAATAATATGATATTTGTGTTTAAAAGTGGTTAAATAGAAAAATGTGTATGTAACTGATATACTCAAAGGTGACTGACTGACTGACATAGTGATCTATCAACGCACAGCCCAAACCACTGGACGGATCGGGCTGAAATTTGGCATGCAGGTACATCTACCCCAAATGTCAGCCTCATAACATCTTATGACGTAGGCATCCGCGAAGAAAGGATTCTGATCAATTCTACCCTCAAGGGGATGGAATAGGGAATGAAAGTTTTCAAACTTTGTCAATTTTAAACCGATCGGGCTGAGACTTTGCATGCAGGCATAAGTAGAATCATAGATGAATGTCATTGTGTATAATACAAGCTTGAGAACAAAAACTGTAGTCTACACTTCAGCTCTACACCGAAGCGAAGCGAGGGCGGGCCGCTAGTATGTTAATAATTCTACTTATATGTGAACTTGAACATCATCCTTTTGTAAGTTTATTATTCCAGATATGTTTTACAGCAAATTTCATAAAATTTTGGCGATTTTGATCTCTAACATACACTCGCGCGATTAGACTCACTCTGGTGAAATATCCGACGCGCAACTAGTTTTGTTTTTGAACTGGACCAATAGCTCTATGCTATGAGTTTAGCACATCACGTCATCGTGGTCTTGAATTCAAAAGAGATATAACAAAGCTTGAAACAAAGATTTGTTTTTAATTTTATTTAAGTACTTTGATGCAAAAGGGCCATAGTATTACATTCTTGGGCATTTCCAAATCTTTATGCGGCCCATGTATTCTTAAAATATATGCTAAAGAAATAACTGTATGCCGCAGTCGTTCTAAATTAGTAAAATTAAGTTATTTACAAAACCAATGCAATATAGTTTTTACTAACTTATAATTTTCCTAACGTTACCTAAGTCACGGTAATAATAAGTAGTATTAGAGAATGAAATTAAACCTCGTAAATAAGTTCATTCATTGTTTTAAAATCAAGAATTAAATATTGAACAAAATGTATAATTTAAAATTCAATATTACCAAATGTTACATCTTCTAAACTTCATTGTCATTCACAGAAGCCGACGCCGACGTTTCTGTCAATGAAGGCGATGTTGATGCTGAAGATGTTGGTTGTGGTTGTAGTGGATTTTTGAAAGAGTATTTTGTGTTTTCACCCCATACACTTATTTTAGCAGTTCAACAGTGGTGGGGGAAACGATATTTCGATATTGCAATTTAATAGCTATTTTATAACTGTTTTTAGTTTAATAAAATACCTACTGTTTCTTGGTAAAGTAATAAGGCCTAAACCAAATTATATTGCTTAAGTTACTTGGAACCTAAATCAACAACAGTAAACACAGTTTTAAAAATAACGTATAATTTTGTAATACAACAAAATATATCATTATATTTAATAATTTCCCGTCTCGAGTCCTAGACCGAACTTTCATCTAAAATTTTCTTAAACAAAAAATCTCCAAGTCCTATCGTGACCTTGAATTTACACGATTTTGAGAATATCCGACTGCGGCGCTGAAATCTTAAGGTTTTATTCTTTTAGTGATGCCGATGTGTCGATATTATTACTTTCGAGTGGTTAATTACATTCCCTTCTTATCCAAATTTTATATTTCACGTTTAACGAGAAATTCCAGTAAAAGCACTATTTTTTCCATAATTATCCATAACAAATATTTTATACTAATATTTAAATTAACGAGGAACTGCAAACGTATCATCGAATATGCCAAGAATATGTTTACATTTTTAATTTAACTCAGATCTGTCAACCTTTGACACTTATACTTTTGTTTCCGGTCAACACTATAGTAACCACTACTTCGTTTCGAAAGTCATTCGATCTTGAATTAGACAAACTACAGTTCTTTTTACTCCAGATCGTTATCTGACGCAATATTTCATTGTCTTCCCGACCTTCCAAAATTCTGATTAGTAATCCTTCTGCACTTGACACGTATAGCGGCTACAGATCACAGTACACTATTAACTTTATACTTACTTTATTAAAATTTATTATTGGGTAGGTAACTACCCACGTAACTACACGTAAAAGAGATCCATCTCTTTTACGTATATAGCGTACCTGGGTCTCCAGACACAGGTATGTATATCTTTTACGTGTATCTGTCTCAAACGCTGGATCCAGCAAAACGGATAGTGCGTACGTAGCGTAGAGGATTTAAGGAGATATTGCCCTTATAATATATCATTATGTATAGTTTTTTGTCAATATGTTAAAATCTCTTAATATACCTATTCATTTGTGTGAGTGATTCAGAGCGTGTCTGTGACAAATAAATTTGTCTGCATCAGTGTTTGTCGTTCTCATAAAGACAAACTACATTCTTTTTCATTAATCAATTGTCGCTTCATGTACTGGCTTAATTACATGATTTAACAAACATTAACTGCCTAATAAATGAAAGTAATGCTCAGTAAGAAACCTGCCGACCTGTCCAAAGATTTGTCTAATCTAAATAAATACCTAATACAAGTAGGTAATTCATTTTGTTAGATATTTTATATCTTTTGCATGTTTTAACTCACATGCCTGATAGAATAGTAAATTCTCACAAAGGATCCAGATCGGGCAGCCTGTACGAGTGTCATATGTTATGTATGGAGCTGAAGTGACAGTGACTCGAATTCGTTGTCACAGTTCGCGGCAGCACGCCGCGCCGCGACGCCGGCCACGTTATTTAGCCTGTCGGGTAAGCTCGTGCCCGCTCGCCTCTTCGCGTGTCCGCCGAGCCTCCACGTTGGCATCGCGCCACCGCACCAGCGCCGCCCCCTCACGCCCTTCCTCAACCCTGCCCCGCGCGCTCCATGTTATCAGCGACATTCTTACCGAATACCGATTTCGCACTCAGTAGAGGCTTTCAATGTGAAGAGGCAACACGTTACCTCATTTCACTTAATCTTAACAACCGGCCGATTCACTTGTGAAACCTTGAAGAGATTTTGCTTAAATCGTGCATGTTCTTAAAACTTTACCTTACAAATACTATAATAAGTTAATCAATACCGTATTAAGTACCTAAATAATGCTGTACGACTTGCTTCAGTTAATATTTTGAATCATATGTGGATCCAATTCGAGTAATAATTAGTAAAAGTTAACAATGTCAGCAGTGACAATTACAACCACACTCACAAACGGGCACGTGCCCAACGGGAAACTGGAAACGGGAATAAATGGCTACAGGAAAAATGGATGTATCAAACCAGAACCGGAATTCGTCGTAAGTCTTATTCTTAATTCAATAAGTAAAGAACCTAATATAAGGATATATTACGCCCTCTTTCTGGACAATAACCCAATAAGAAGAAGGATTTAATAATAAACACTGATCAAAATCGATAACTATCCATAGGGGATCACCCAAATAAATATTATGTCGCATTTCCTCTACTTCTCCAAACAAGACAAACTTCAACATATGGTTTCCAAAATGAATCATTACTGGTACGGGAGAATATTTTATTTCTGGGTGATTTATCATTCTCTATGCAAAACCTGTTGATGTAAACAACATTCTCACAGTATTGGTGAAAGTGTATGCTTGCCTTGCCTATCACACGTCAAAGTCTCTATTTACGGAACCAATATTAAATGTTTGGTGAATGTCAATGACAGAATGTTGAATTAAATGTTCATGGCTGAGTATTTTAATTTCAAGAGGATTTGCCAATAGCGTCTTCGTCGCTAAGAATGACTACAGAATCCTATAGTAATGCAGTTATTAATGAATTCAAATTTCAAACGATTTCAATGAAATAATTTTATTCTTATTAAGATCTGTTAAATTTCGATATTATACTATTTAACCAAGAATGCAAGTGCTTGAGATTACCTTTTCACATTCAATAAATAAAAGTATTTACTAAAATATAGCCCTTCCTTTTTAAAATTTAATTCAAATACCTAGTGTAAATTACTATTATAATTGTATGTTTTAACAACTTGCAGATAAGTATATCGAATTAGAAAACATTCTAACGTTTTTTTTTTAATTTAAACTTAAGAAAGGGTTATCGGCAGATCTTGATTTCCCATTGTTAAAAAATTTCATGCATAACATTTGGTATGTTATAAATAAACACCTTCTAGAGAGAGACGATTGAACACACTGTCTTAAATAACTTTAAGGAATCAAGGGTGTTCATGCTGAATATTTTGTCAGAAAAGAAGTAGGCATCCAAGATTTGTTAAATATTATTGTCTCCCGTCTCAAACAGTCATGGAAATGGATACTTGAGGTCAACTACCTTTCATTTGGTTTATTTGTTTTAAACAACAAAACTAAACAAACTAAAGGTGAATCAAAAGCAATTGTAAAAATGTTAATGGAAACCATATTATATAGTTATACTTTGATGGCATCATAGAAATTAGTGAGCGCTTTAGGACGGTTCATGTCATGGTTTGCTAACTGCCTCTGTAAGTTGGGAGTTTCGTATACGGTCGTTTGGCAATGCATTCTTCGAGAGAATTCGCTGCGTGAGTGGTGCACTGATTACCATTTAGACCTCGAAAATTAGCGTATCTTACCTGCCAAGATAACCGCATGAAATTTGCATTACTTATTTCGAAATGACAATCGCCTGACTAATCGTTCTTTCATTCTACATTATCCATTTGAGATAATTAATTATTTTTTTGTTATTTCTATAGTTCTGTCAATATTGTCGTTTTGACTAATCTTGTCTTGAGCTTAGGGTTATTGTATAAAATCACATCCGGTCTTGATCTTAATCATAGTTCAGAAGTTTTACATCAGCTGCTTCTTTTACTTTAGCTTTCATATATTTCTTATTACTACCATACAATTTATAAGGGTTAAGAAACAAAATTAAATAATTACATTATTACAATGGTGTAGATTCTGGCGTGATTCCCTAAACTTAAAACTAAATTTAACATCATTCTCTCCTTTTCATTATGTATAGAGAATGACAAAGATAAACTGTTGTCAAATTTAAATTAAGGTTTAGAGAATCGACATCAATAATTACTTATTCTAAATTATCTCTTTCCAAAAGGTTGTTTTTAAAAAAATGATAATGACGTGAGTACTCAGGTGATTCGAACGACCGGTTAAAATGACTTCTGACGTCAAGCTGAGTATGCATATGGTTCACGTTTAATCACGTACATATCTTTAAAAGTATCTACTTATCAGACAAATAGTACCTACTTTATAAAGTAAGGAAAAATATTTTCATGTTCGCTTTTATCTAGTTTATAATACATGAATTCAATTATCTCTATAGCGGACGGCTTCTGTAGTTTCCGGTGGTGCCATCATTGGTGGGTGTGATTTCGTCATGGGTTGTGTTGTGTGGCCTTGTATACCAACTGTTCAACTACAATGATGTGTTATTTAATCTTGATAATACTTGTCATACTACACTTATTATGAAAATAATTTTTAATCTGTCGTATGACACTATATATAAAAGAAACAGAATTGAGTAGGTTATAATGCCTCATTTCTTAAAATCCCGAATAATGTGGTTTGATTGTATTGACACTCAAGATAATTCGTTAAAAGGTACAGAATTTAAATAGAAATAAATAGGTCTTTGATTTGTAGAGGCCCTGCATCAAACATGAGCTCAAAATTAATTAGCATGGGTACCATTCCATGTTTCATAATAGGGGTGATGACGGGGTACAGTAAACGAAATTCTATTTAGTCCGTCAGTTAGATGATCAAAAAATAATGGACACGTATTTTTTCTTTGGGCAATCAACCAAAAAATGACAAAGTTATAGCGCGTCAAAGTTTGGGAGTAGGGGCTCGTGACGTCACTTTTCAGTGAATTTTCACTTATAAGTGTACTCAAACGTGACGTCATGCGTCTTTTCAAATCAATGTATCTCTGCAATGTTTATATTATGTGATAAAAGAAAAAATACGTGTCCAATACTTTTTGATAATCTACCTGATAAACGAAGAAAGAAAAAAATTTGTCATCATCCCTATTATCACAGCAATGAATTTCTAATCCCATGTCTGATGAACTAGATTATTATCATTCAACGAAGTAAGTACCGCATAAAATAAACTGTCAGAGCACGTACAAAGACATAGTTTGAGTTCATTTAATTGTATGGTAATGCTTCATTGATAGTTCCAACCGCAAACTTAAGGCAAGGAATGCTGCACAGAAAACTTACGTCATCTTGTAATGTAAAGTATTCATCATCAAATAATTTTAGGATTTTAGACATTTTTTTTATAGTATAGAGATTGAACGTAGGTTTTTTTTCTATACAGCTACCATATAAGATTGTAAATTTGAAAAAGAAATGGAAACCATAAGATGTGTAATTTTAATTTTAGGTTTTTATTATTTTTCATTTATTCAATCAAATCAATTACATTTTTGATATACAATGGCTGTATCTAAAAAACCCTTAAACATGGGTTTATCTGTCTACAGCGATTCGCTCTAACAAATATTTTTTAAGTTTATGTTTACAATTATCTTTCATATACAATTCTTGAATACTGGGGGGCATTTCATTTAGAATTTTAGGAATAACATATTTTAGTGTTCTCGAACCATATACATTGTTGGTTTTCGGTAGGAGATATTTTTTATAATTAAGGTTACGCAAGTATTCTGGACGATGATGAGTCTGTAGATTATGAGCACTGTTATATTCTGTTAAAACACAAAATTTGACTTTATCATATACACTCAACACTTTACAATGGTTAAACAACTCACCATAATTTTCTTTATATTTATTTTTAATATATTTTGGAACAATAGTTTTTAAGATTCTTATTTGTAATCTGTATATATCTTTCAAATATGGTAAGATTTCGTACCCAAAGAGAACCTATTTATTACTCGTCTGCCGTCCGTCCGTCAGTCGATGGGCAGTATCAGATGAAGCGCAACAAATAGGCCACAGATTAACGTAGACAGGTGAAATTATCACGAAATTGTGTATGCATTGTTCTAGTCGGCTGAAACTACAATAAAAATAAATTTAACAATTAAAGGGGACCGAATATATTGAAGGTGATTTTTGTAGCGTTTTTTAACGCGATTGGCATGGTTATACACATTGCCACGTCGAGTATATTTTAAAAAGCAATCATAAAATACAATGCTGCCATAAAATGTTATTGCTTGCAGTTTTAATTTCCTATTGTTGGAATATTCCGTGTTCATTGGCCTTCCAACAACATGCTTAGTTAAAGCATTAATTTGTTGCTTATCAATGAATTTATTTAACCCCACACGCAGTAGAGTGATATAGTAATATTATAGCACTAAGCGAAATTATCTGATAACTGAAATTAAATGTACGATCGAATTATCTGATTTCTGACCCACTTGCCCGATAATTCTTTTAAAAATGGCAAAAAAGACATGTTTTCCTTTAAAGAGAATGCGTAATTGCAATAAGGACCTTCAAATAACAAGGAAAATGTGTTAATATGAATCAAAGTTATTTTAAATTTGAACTTTATTTTCAATACAATAGATGATGTTCTGGATAAAATGGGAATACTTTAGTTTACACTTTTTAAATCACAAATGTAAAAGAAACTTTTTTCTATTCGATTTTCCCCAACTGTTGGGCCAACTTCAGAACAAATTTAAGTTCCGCTCGGATATTTCACTAGACTGAGTCAAGTAACCCGAGTGTATGTAAGAGATCAAAAATGGCAAAATGTTATGTAATTTGCTGTAAAACATATCTGGAAATTTAAACTTACAAAAGGATGGTGTTAAATTTCACATATAAGTAGAATTATCAACATATTATTTCTATTTAACCACTTTTAAACACAAAATTCATATTATTTTGTTTAAATTCAATCGTCGGACTTGTTTAACAAAACAATCAACTCGCCGGTACTGATTTCAGATCTGTCTATAAGAAATCATAAGTTTGTTTCCTGTCATTTTTAACAGGCTTATTAGTTTCATCTGTATGTTTGTAATTGTATGTAACCGACTGCCTTTGGACTCGATCTTGCCCAACTTTAAGCGATCAGATTTACTTAAAACTTGGCAAATATATGTAGATTAGATGACAATACAATATTATGGTACCACCGAGCTGATCTGATGATGGGACTGGAAGGTGGCTGATGGAACCTTGGACTGCCTACTACGAAACATATCGAGTTTGGGCTCATTAGATTCGTCTTAACACATTCTATTCATTTCTCCTGATGACGAGGACCTGATGATGGACTGCAAGTTGGACCCTGGACTGCCTACTAGTAAACATAAACATTTCTAGTTTGGGCCCATTAGATTCGTCTTAACATATTCTGTTCATTTTTCCTGATGATGGACTGGAAGGTGGCTGATGGACCCTGGACTGCCTACTAGTAAAAGAATCGAGTTTGGGCTCATGAGATTCATCTTATCATAATAAAACTTGGCAATTATATGAAGATTAGATGACAATACAATATTATTGTACCATCAAGCTGATCTGATGATGGGACTGAAAGGTGGCTGATGGATCCTTGGACTGCTTACTAGTAAACATATCGAGTTTGGGCTCATTAGATTTTTCTTAACACATTCTGTTCATTTCTCCTGATGACGAGGACCTGATGATGGAGTGGAAGGTGGCTGATGGACCCGGGACTGACTACTAATAAAGAAATCTAGTTTGGGCTCATTACATTCCTCTTAATATATTCTGTTTATTTCACGTTAATGGGGAGTAAAAAAAAAGTCTTGCAATAGTGAAGCCTTATCGGAAATGGAGAGGATACGTATTCAGTCGCAATAAACTCGTTCTATATTTGTAATAAACTAAAAAGAGTAAATTAAATGCGAACAGAGTTATATATCTTAAAATCAACTTTAAACATGGCTTACTCTACTGCCCTAATGAAGTAAACAGCGAGTATATTTTGATTTTTTTTGACTTTCTAGTGCAGTAAGTAAAAGCGTTTTTTTAAACTATTAATTTATTATGTGTGAGTGTTATTACAATTTCATTTTTGCGAAAGTATGTTACACTGCATTTGAGTGCATTTTCCTCCCCCCGCAAAAAGCGACAGAATGATTTCAGAGGTATGTCATTATTGCTTTGTCATATTTACTATGTGGTTAAATAATTGGGAAATTCTTAGTCCATGGGCAAAACTCTAAATAATTAACTGTCAAAATTATGACACAGGAAGGCGGCAAAATATGTCACGTCAAATATGATTGTTCAGAAAATAACATATTAGTTTCCAGGGATACGCTCATTCTACCTTGTTGTATTGAAATGGTTGTAACAAAATCAGTTTATGGTGGGTTAGAAATCAAATTGGCCTGATTGTACCATCCCTAATAACTGTAACAACAATTATGCCATGTAACTCTGATCGCATTTAGCTATATTAATTGTTATTTTTAACCGACTTCAAAAAAGGAGGAGGTTCAGTGTTCGACTTCTTTTTTATGTATGTTCACCGATTTCCGAAAATCTGTTTTTATTTGAAAGAGTGCACTTTCGATGTGGCCCCATTCGAACCAAGTCAGTATCTGATGGTGGAATCCGGGTAAATCGAGGGAAACCTCCAAATTTCAAAGGCACGTACGATGTTTTTTATGCGGGTTCACCGATTTCTCCGTCAATTTTGTTATTGTTTACTTGGACAATGTAATTTTCACTAAAATGGATGAAATAAAAAAAAATGAAAATAATATAACCGACTTCAAAATCGAAAATGGAACTAAAAAGTAAATCTTGTTCATGATTTGGAAGTCGGGCGGGGTCAAGATTGAAACATTAAATAGATTTTCATTTCTGATCGGTAATAATACGTCTTTCAATCTTGACCCGCCCGACTTCCAAATCATGAACTAGATATAATTTTTTACTTTTTAGTTCCATTTTCGATTTTGAAGTCTATTTTTTTTTGTTTTTAAGAACTTATATTTGAGATTTGCATATACGTTGATAATAATACCTACCCGAATGTACAACAAGATCAAAAAAACCTTTCCTGTACGTTTTTATCAAGCATTTTAATTATAATGAGTTATGCGATTTGATTAGATTTTTAATGGGAAAATTACGTACACCTTATTAAATCACCAATTTTAATTTTACTTGATGAATGAAATGTTGCAATTACGGGAAGTCGCTGCTCTAGCAACCTTTTCCGGTTAACGCGACAGCGATTTATAAAAATACGCTTATCAAACGCATCACTATATAACTGTACCCTTAGTACGAATTTGAAATTGTAAATTATGATTCTATGTCCATTTTGGTGAAAACTAACCGAATATACTTAACATTTAAGAAGACGCACATGATAGAATTTAAACTCTGTTTATTTGTATTGAAACGAAAACAAAAAAATCAGTACCTTTAGTACGAGTGCGAAGTCTAAACTTTCATAGTTTTCGTAATTGTAAAACTCGTACTAGGGGTACTGTACCTAATTAAAGTATTTTATGAATAGCGGATACATAATCGTGTATTTTTAGGTGTGATGTTTACATCGATTGACCTATCTGTATCAAGTGTGTGTGTACTGTCGAGTATGATCCGGGAAACCGGTGACGACACATCGCGCCACTTCATTATCATCAAACACGGCAACTTTATTCGCGTTGTTGAACCTTGACGTATCATTTATCATGACTACTAACTAAAGTTAATTAAAGGAATATTTTTATTTATTGGTCGTTGTACTGAGAACAATTATTCTGATATGCTCATTTTATTAATAAACATCAACTGACTTTACTTTTAAAAATTTGGAAATAGAAAACAGGTCAAAGTTTTTATTATCTCTTTAATTATATACTTACAAAGAATAAGAGGTTGTTTGTTAATGAAGGCCAATTACAGAGTTATATATCTATTTAAATTTATCTGATATATACCACCTGATATGATATAGACCACCAAATAATGTTATTTTTGATACACATCATGTGTTACCTAGTTTATGACTGAAGTTTATATTAAAGTCATTACGTGCATTGGTTTAACCACACATCTCGCCTTCACGTGAACATTCTCTTGTGGAATTGCTGTCGTCATCAACCTCAAGGCTGGTGTATGATGGTTCCAATCCACTCACTTATTTTCGTCTGACTGAAGAATCCGTTCGACCTTTTATCGATTATTTGCTTTATATGAGTCACTGATGGAAATTAAAAATAAAACAATCGAGCGGGGTACTTAATAAGTAATTATTTTATGTAGTTTAGGTTATTATCTACTAATATCGATTAATTACTTACTGACAAATACCTTATTTGCACAAAATAATTTTATGTACAAATTAAACAATTATTCAAGTATTTTTTTATTGCTTTAGCTTATTCATTTGTTGTTGTCCACCAGGAGGTCAAGGAAAAATATTTTCCTATTTCTGGTTTAAAACTTTATAACTGCTTCCAACTACCTTTTTAAGAGCGTAGCGGGGTGGGCAGAGAGAATAGAGCAATGAAGCACTGTCCGTATATACGAGTACATATATCTTTTCGTATAGATATATCTTTCGTTTCTTTCTCATTATTACTTTTTTCATACAGGCCCGCCTGTTTTTGCTGCTTCTTAATAGGTACTCCTATATCCATACTAACCTTTACATCTTCACGCTTAAACGCTGATATTTTGGTTTAGAAATAGTTTGAGTCCCGTGGAAGGACATGGGTAGTTTTTATCCAATAAATCATCCTCTGAAGGGGTGAAAAGGGGAGGAGGGTGCAAATTTGCATGACATACCAATTTTTCCTCGCAGATGAAGTCGCGGGCACTCATTAGTGTGTAATAAACCTGTATAGATCGCGCCAATATTCTAGTCCGCTCTGCACAATTCGCGTCGTAGTAACAAAATACAGGTATTTAAAGGACGAAGTTTGTGTTTAGGGCTGTACACCTGCGCTAACCAACTTCACAGCGGACTAGAAGTTTGACGCGATCTATAACATTGTAACTCGTTTGTTGCAGTCGCTCCGTGCGGCGGCACCGTTCAGCACAGACCCCGCGGCGGTGGTGGAACGCGAGCGGTGCCACTACGGACGCATCCCGCGGGCGGCCGCGCTCGCCGGTGCCGGCGGCCGCCGCGTGCGCGTCTACTCCGACGGAATATACGACATGTTCCACCAGGGCCACGCGCGACAGCTGCAGCAGGCGAAAACTGTCTTCCCAAATGTTTACCTCATCGTTGGAGGTGAGGTGAACCATCTAATTGTTATTGTTTTCTTTATGACATTCAGAATGTCGAATTGCCAAAGCATAATACACAAAAAATTGCGCAATCGCAGCCGATTTGTAGTGGACACACTCCGTCGGCATATCTACGACATGCTCGACCAGGGGCACTCACGACGTCCTCATCCTCATCGTTGGAGGTCAGATGAACAACCTCATTACGATTTTTATTGGATTATATATTCAAACTTTCATGGTCACTTACATTGTGCTTACATTATAGCAATTTATGTAATTAGCGGAATTGCAACTGCCATGATCACAAAGTAACTGTTCATTGCATTTTTTTAATTAGGCATTCGGAATGCCGCATTCCCTAGACGCGATTCAGAAAAAAATGTTGCAGTCGAATAGGGATTTGACAGTATTAAAAATAAAATGACAATTGTTAGCATCTGTGTTTAGAATGAGTAATGGCAGATGTTTTTTTTTAAATAGTTTTTTACAAAAAAATATTCATAATTTTACTAAAAACCTACGAAAAAGATAATAGTTTTCTTCTCTATTGTCACGTGGCCCAAAACGCTTGGGATTGACGGAGCCTAAAATGACGTCACACGCAAGTAAACTTCCCGTTAAAGTGACATTACGTTGTATCGTTTGACGTTTTAATAACAGTCGTGTGACGTCACACACTAGTAAGACACCATATTGTCCAGAGAAACATTTCGCGGCAGCCTGAAAATGGAGTTCTTGATTTGGTTATTTTTACTGAAATACACAACAGTATGATGAATATCCACTTTTAACGGACTCCATAAACATTAGTCAATAACGTGAGATCGTTTTTTAAAACTTGTCAAATACCCTATTGTGTAAGGCGCATTATTACGTTTCGCCTAATTGTTTTAAAAACACAGGCGATTTTTGTTATTTCTGGGGACGATTAGTCTTGAGCTGATAGTCATTGCGATACTTTCTTTAATGCGGTGACCTACATGTACAACTGCAGTACAGCGATTGCATTATAGGTTGCGAAGTTGTATATATAATAAACTAGGTAATCGAAATAATATGTAATAGGGAAGATGCATCTACAATATTTATGAAAATTTTATGATTGAAATGTTAAAAAAATATAAAAGAAATGCCACTGCAACGTTTTTATTTTACATAATGTTGTTTTTTAACAATTATTACGAATTAAAAATACTTGAAACGGAACGTATTTTAAAACACCAATCAGCGTTTAGTGACGTCACTCCTGTTATGACAACTTCTTTGAGGTTATGGTTGTTAAAGTAAATATTATTTTATGGGAATATTTATTGCGTTTTATTACATTTAATAAAAATGGAAGTTGCGTTTATCAAAGCAGACTCCAGGAATTTACCAAGAGTTAGCGTTGACATGGTTATAACTTTTTTTGTCCAAAGTGCAGAGTTTTTAAGTGTAGAAATGAAAGGGACTAAATTACTACGGTATGTAAAAATCGTAGTTGTTAAACTTCGTATTTTATTCAGCGGCTTCTACAAATCTTACGGCGATAATGCAATCGGCAATGTTCAAATTAAAAGAGATGGAGAATTATGTACAGTAGAAGGTCGAGTTCTCCGGAGCATAAAGTACGTAAAGAAGGTTATCGTGTTACAGTTATTTTAAATGAAACGCAAAGCTTGGTTCAGTCCTGCCAATGTGAAGATTGTGCCACACATTTTAAACTTTATCTAATTTTCGTCGTCATTCTCCAACTGTAAAATTAAAAATATGTTATAGACAGGTTTTGTAAATATTAGGTAGGTTACTAATGCGTTTTTACGTACAAGCAGATTAATTAAGCATATAACAAGTATATTCGCCGACTTACGTCAAAGTGATCTTCTCAGCATCGAATAATGGTCTTTGGAGAATAATTGTCATTTCTCTTCGCAGTTTGAAACCACTTTTTTCAGTTTTGGGTCAGAAGTTCCAGTCAAAAACAATTTATTTGGGAACTTTGTTGAAGTAGATTGGCACAAAACATGAGTCAACACGGCTTTTTTTCGGAATATTAGTGGTATTGTTATGATCACATGATGTTGATGGATAGTCCATTTTAAACTTTTCAAAAAAAATATTTCGAAAGTCGAAAAAATATGCAAAAGTATGAAAATTTAAAGCCAGCAACGAACAAGTACGACCAGTGACAGACAGGAGCGACGTCATCGCAACCATAGGTTCGTTTTCGCGCGAAAATTTATGTTGTCAATTTAAAACCGCATTTTTTCCGATAAATCACAATGTTTTAATTTTTTAATATATCTGTGGTTTATTCTACATGGAATTCTTTAAAATGAAAACAAAAATAAAAATATTGCATCTTCCCTATTAGCATTTATCTGAGAATCAATCAGGAAATTTGACTCTGAAATTCCTGCACTAGTTTGACAGGTGTACATGCATACTACTTGAACTTATTAATAGTTCAATGAAAATTCATTGCGGAAACGTAGGTATCACGCGTGAATAAAATATTCTACTCGTAGGAAAAATCAATACCAAACTGACCGAGTTCATTGATCGTGTCATGTATTTTAGGATTAATAGTTGACATGACACTAATTTAGGATGGTGTGAATTTGAAATAACGGCTATAACCCCGTTGCATGTGTACCGAGTTTATGATATTTAATTATGTTTTATTACGTTTTTATCACACAGATTTGTCAAAAATATATAGATCTCATGTGACTAGGTGCAACAACGTAGACAGCGAACGCAGACCGCGTTGCACGCTCGATCCGATATAAAGGGATGAACCCAGTATTCTCTATAAAACGTCTTCTCTTCTTTAATTTCATTAATAACAACACAACGCAATCTTATAATATTTGCTTCCACAGCGTGCGCTTCTTCAAATTGTTGGGCAACAAATGTCCACACCGTGTGCGTTGTGTCCGTGGCAAATTCTCAGCAGACATTTTTTTTCATGATTCGGGGATTTTTGCCTTCCGCGGATAACAGTCCTGCGTCTGCGCAGCCTATAATATGTATTTTATTTAGGCCCTCCAAATAGACCCTTAAATTTCACATCATGCATCCCTCTATTGTGTTGGCAGAGTATCAAAGGTGCAGCTCGAGATACCAATATAACTCGCATAGCCACACCTCAATGACACCACGTTTAGCATTGACAGATTATAAATATTTATAATAATAGCATTTTAATGTTTCTTCTTCTGATAAAATTTAACGGAATTCTAATAAATTTCCGTGCACCTATTTAGATAGATAACCTTTAATTTTTTGTAAGCTTTTTTGCTACCTATTTCGAGAAACTTGTTTATTTATTTGCTCAGGCTTGAATGGTCGCGCGTCGCGCCACGCTAATTAAGATTAAAGAAAGTTTCCTTTTTAGATAAGAATACTATTTGCATGGGCTAACATGATTGGTTTACAATCATCGTACGATTCAATTTATCGCATTATCGTGAATTACTCACACGTGATTTTAAAATAAAAAGATCATGCAATCTCATAATAACATTTGGATAACAATGGATTATTAAGTATTAAGCAATATTAGAACACATACTTTTTTATATATAAGTTTTATTTGATAACGATTATTACAGTAATATATTTTTACGATTAACTATCATGTACCCTATCTACCTTTATTTGCTCTTATTGCGATACAGTCAATACTCATTGCAAAATACAAATAAAAAACACCAGAACAATGATAATTTACCGTATTATTTTGTAAAGAAGAAAATACTTACTTTCCTTGCTTTTTTGACCAGTTGTAAAAATATTGCTATAGCTGGCCAACGATATTTAATATCGTTGTAGCTGGCTCCAAAATATATGTATTTACAATAAACCATCTACAATTCCGAAATCTGAATAAAACTATATAAGCCGATTGACCTGATCACATAACACTGATAATTTACTGAAATCAAGGTGAACTGATAGTGCTATACAAATTTCTTTGATAGTGACAAGATAATGAATTCGTGTCTTTATTTACATAATTTCTCAGTTGTATTTAATAATGACGCAATCGCATTCTTAATCTTTTATGGTGTCTAGGGTTTACGTTTGTGTTGAAAACTGACAAGTTAAAACTTTTTTGACGTCACTTCAGTAAAAAACCAAATCTTGCATTATTTATTTATGTTCGGCGCGTACAACTACAGAGGGTAGTAATACTTTTAAGAACCTTATACTTAAGTCCAAGGCTGACATTATAAACGCAATATCGTAGCATATTGAATAGTTAATCAATACATTTATAAGTATTGTTTTTGGTATAGTGTCTAGAAAACATTCATTAATAAATTGAAAAAGTGTTACATATAAGAATTAGTAAGCCAAAGCATCCGAAAAATATATCCGTAATTGTCATAAAGCCAATACGGAGAACACAACCTTGCCTAGGGCTATGTGTGATGCGTGTTGGCCAGATTTACTCGTCAGGGCTAGTTATTTTAAATCACAAAAGTATTTTTAACAATCAATATTATATGCAATGACAATTTCTTAATATTGGACGCACTTAAGCATTTTACCGTCATCCTAGCCTAACTAGTCAACCAAGTCCCAAACCTTATTGAATACAGTTTAAACTATATTGTTTCAGTATGCAGTGACCAGTTGACACATAGCCGCAAAGGGCGCACAGTAATGACAGAAGACGAGAGGTACGAAGCCGTCCGACATTGCAGATACGTAGATGAGGTAAATGAATAATATTTTTATTCAAATTGCTAGTATAAAACGACTCTTGCATAATCCAACATTGTTTTCCTTACATTATCTTTTGAAGGCAATAATACTTCATCTATTATATATTTAATAGTTTCTATGATGAAATGCTCACAACCAGACGGGTACAAACCCTCGAACATCGCCGCCTGGTTGCGTGTCTGAGTGCTTTCTACAGGTTACATTTCGGGGAAAGTGCACAAGAACTATTTGAATTAATTCCGCCTGCACTTTTTTAGACCATCGGACGACGAGGTGTGGACAGGGTCTTCATCCGTACGGGGTGGATATACCTCCGCTGCGCACCTCACGATTCGCATCCCTCTTTATCATGCGAACCGCTAGGGAATGGAGCTCCCTTCCTGCGTCTGTATTCTCCGAATTATACATATAATATAGTATACTTCTAGGCAAAAGTAAATAGGCATTTTTTCGGTTTGCGTGATCCAGCTTAGACCACATCCAAGCGCGTTGCTATATTCTTCATAAACGGACAATGTAAAGGCATTATCTCAGTTGGGATTTGAATCACCTAATGAATTCATTCGAGTTTCAACGTGGAGGAAGCCGATATGTTTGGTTAGGCAAACAATCAATGAGCGGACTAAGGACTTTGGTTGCTTTATATTTGGCTACTTGTTTTATATCTAAGCAACGCCCTTGACCACGTCGTTGCTTAACAATTCAGGTGAGCTTGTGGTCAAACGCCAAACACACTCAAATCTTCTGTAATAACTAAGATATATGCGTTTTATGAACTTTCAAAAGTTGCTTAACGTAGTATTTTGTGTTTTGGTATTCAAGATATGATTAGTTTCGGTTATTGAATTAATGTGTATTCTCTTTGATACAACCAACTTTTCTTTACTCATCGTGTTCATCATTATTATTATTATCACAATGTCCTATATTATAGTTTTCTTGCTAAGTTTAATACGAGTGTTACCTTCCCATTGATTGTTATCTTTGAAATCATGCATCAAAGAGTCTAGGATGGATGAGGATTTTAGCCTTTTGTCTGTTATTACCTACGGAGTTTATATGTGTGAAGTAAAATGATCTTGCCATATCGTAATTCGTCTTACACCACCCACGTTCCATTCATAAAATATTATTCATTACTTATATTTGCTTCCGAATAATGTCCGAATCAATAACGGAGATGTGTATACCATCTAATCTATTCTCGAAATAAACGTTTGAGCAAAAAGGTTAAATTTAAACACAAAAGAATCGTGTCGATCATATTCTATTCGATCCATCCGGCGCCTCCGTAAAATGGCAGTGAAAAAGTAAACAATTATTATTTAAATTGATAAGTTTATTCACCTTTCCGGAAAGACTTGCAAATTGACTGTAGTAATGTTTTTTTTTTACTCAAGAAGGTTGTATTCTTATTTTACATATCAATGAAAACACAAAATTGGACCCCTTGACCTCTACTTATGAATTCTAGTAGGTACTCATGCGTTATATAACGCTTAATGACGTTATAACAAACATTTTCATTGCTTGTTGTCACGTTACGGTTTTGTTTTATTCATGTCAGCCTGAATGCCGGACTTGATGACCAAACTCCGTTAAATCAATATGAGCGGTGACGCGCAGACGTCCTTTTAGATTATATTATTTATATAATGTGCACCTGCGATGACTCAACTCTTGTATTGATGGCCATTTAAAGATTAGGGAATCCCCAATTATTCTTAACCAGCTTTCTGATATTATTAAGGTTAACACACAATACAATATAAATAAATGAAAATCGGCCAAGTGCGAGTCGGACTCGCGCACTCAATTTAATACCCCTACGCGTTCATGAGAAAAGAGGTAGTTTAAAATTTTCATAAATATTTTTTATTACATGATGTAACTAAAAGTTTACGGTTTTCGCAAATTTTCCTTTATTGGTACTATAAGACGTTACTTCGTACCAAATTTCAAGATTCTAAGTTCACGGGAAGTAAGTACCCTGTATAGTCCAGTCGGAATAGCCATAATTTGGACCGACTTCTATTCTAAGACACCAGCGCTTAGCCAATTTTTTCCTAGGTAGTATAGACCCCCACGAATATGCCCTCCATTTGTCCCCGCTAGAACCTGTGTTTTGTAGCCAGGAAAATTGTTTAAACAAAGAAAAACCGGTTTTTTTTGAGTTTTTTTGCTTGTAAACGGGGATTTTGAAATTTTTTTTTAATCAAAGTTGTTCATTAGCTTGCCCTCTACAAAATCAGTTCTTTGAAAAAATAACGTGAGATTGTTAGTTTAGCAGTAAATTGCAATTACGTCGGTTTTACGTTTGCAACAATTCAACATGTTATAATAAACATTTTGATTTCTAAAGTAGTTTATCATGTGGGTAACGCCACTCCCAAGAGAGTCATGTAAAATTTATCGACCTGTGTCGCAAACTTTAGCAACAATTCTCAATCTCCGAAAAAAAAAGTACTTGCCTGTCCCGTCTTTCCCAGAAGGCGCACAGCGGGAAAAAAAAATCAGGTGATTCGATTCACCAAGAATTTTGAGGAATCGATCGAGTAGAAAAAAATCGTTAATAAAAATGTTCGTTTTTGGACGATTTAATTTTTTTTTAAAAATTGACGTAGAATTTTTTTTTTTTTTAAAACTAATGTATTTTTCTCTCCTCGACTCGAATATACGATTGAAAATTTTAAAAATTCAGTTTATTTATGTACAGAAATTATTTACAAAACTATTAACTAAAATTCGATTACAAGACTGCGTTGAGTATTCCGTAAATGCAGCTAAAATTGCGGGCAGAAGATAGTTAAGTTTTCGAAACTAAATATAAAGTAACGATATTGTAAAATATAACAATTATTAATGTTAAATTATTATTAATAATTAATTTAGTAAAACATCGTATCTCGTTGAGTTATAATGGGTAGGTATTTAACTGTTTGTTGCCGCATATTATTCACGGTATGATCTGATTAATAAGCACTGTTTACTTTATACTTTGTTATTTATAACTAATTAATATGAAATGAGAGCGATAGAATTATTTCAGGGACTATCAATTTGTTGATCAACTGACGGAAAGCGGATGCAAATGAGGTTATAGTCATTTAATTTATATTGCCTTACCTAATCGAGTTAATATAGTCATTAACTAGGTATTATATAAATGACGAAAAATGACAGTATGCGGTATTAGTTAATTAACGGAAATTCACAAACGTAAATATAATTGTTGCACATATTCCCGGTAGGTATTTAATGCCGATGTAGCTATGTTCTGTTACTGCGAAAATCAGTCAATGTTTAAATTTATCAAACTATATGTTGGGTTATGTGTACATACTAGACGAGGAACAACACAAGAAATATAAGAAACAACTGATTCACTCCCGAATTGAGGTATTCGTCTTTGAAAGTTACCTCCTCTTTACAGAAAAGTAGCCAAAGCTTTGCTCTTTGTAGCGGTGTGTCTTACGGGCAGCTCCAGGTCAAAGTACCCGAAACCATCGCGCTCATGCAGAGTGCCAGACCATCTCAAAACAAAGAGTCATTTCTGTCACAAGCATTTTCACGCAGTTTCAAGCAGAACTATGTCGCCACTAGCGACGCCTCAAAAATTTGGAGGACGCCGGGAGCCTTCCTTCTTACTACTTTCTATTTTGCGTCTGCAGTCAGGGTTAGGGCGCTTGTTAACGACCGGTTTTCCGCCGAACTCGGCACGGTTTCAACCCGAGCCGGAGTCGGCTAATCTTATTCATGAGCACGGTTGGTACGGTTGTAATGATCCCAAACCGTCGCTAGCGCCGGTGTCGTTAACAAACCTCCATAGTGCCCCATACTTTACTGACAACTGGACGTAAAAACGGCTTAAAACCGTGCCTAGACCCGGGTAAAATAGTCTCCTTAACAAGCGTCCTCCGTCCCCCTAGCATGAACACCGCGATATGATACAGGGTGTAAAAAATCCTTTAACGAAGTCGAAGGCCACGTATTTTCCACATCATGAAGATATTTTTTTTCTTCTGGACCATACCTAGGAAATTTATGGTTATGGAGATATTGAAGATCAAAGTCACGCAATTACACACACGCACACACATACACACAGGCACATTCTTTGCATAGCGCCACAGTAGCGCGCCGCGCTATACATTGCATACTGGAAAAAAATGTATTTTTTTACTTAAAAATACAAATGATTCCTACTTATAATATTTTGTAATATACCTTGTTTGGGTGTACAGAATGCGTAGTTTTAGTCTTTGTTATAGGTTTTTATACACCCTGTATATAACGCGATTTTATCACGCTCAATTGTCAAATTACTGTGGAGTTCAGTTAGACGCGATAAAAAACGTGATATACTGTAAATTGTAGTGCTCATGCTACATGGACAGGAGTGATTACTCTCGATATCGCAAGCGTCCATTTACTGAGTCTGCTTACCATCAGGCAGGATAAGTTAATCTTTGCCATCATTTTCACACATTCAAAAGAAATTTTTCATTCGCCGTAGGTAGTCTGCGATGCACCGTGGGAATACGACGAGGCGTTTTTAGAGAAGCATAAAATAGACTTTGTGGCACATGACGACATCCCCTACACGACGGAAGACTGCGAGGATCTATATGCCATGATCAAAGCTAAAGACATGTTCGTCGCCACGCAGAGGACAGAAGGTCAGTATCATGAGAGTTGGTTTTTTATTTTTCTATTTTAAACTTTTACCACCTTATTAGTACCATCAGTGCTTGTGCCTAATAATAAGATAGTTGATTAGATTTTTAAAAAAAGAGCGAGCCTTACAGTAGTCGCGTATGATGTGTAACATTTGAAACTTCACCTTATATTAGTAAAAAAACAAATAAAACCTACTACCAAAGAAATGAGCCATTTAACATTATGTCCTAAAATCAAATCAAATAGCGCGCGCTTTCGCGACTTCCTGTTACACACTTTCGTCCTATTTCACAAAATCACTCCCACAAATTGCAGGAAAGCGAGAGGAAAGGTGTTACACATCAAAACCATATTAAAAAGAAACTAATCTAACTAATAAATCAAAATCAAATAAGTTACAAAGCTTCTAAAAGCTAAGGTAGGCGAAACCGTTGAAAAACTAAAAGAGAGCATTGTTTAGGCGTGATGTATTCGCGATAAGCGCCACTAGTGTGAGGGAGATAGCAAGCACTCAACAATATCCACTGTCGTTGATGTACCACTGACACCCAGACTCAAGCCAGTATAAAAAAAAAATGGGTGCGTGTACTTATGTAGGCGCGTGAGAAGTTATCCTTCTTTGGCATCGTTTAAAATTTGTTTTTAATTGCATGCAAATAATTAATTACAATAAATTAATAAAAAGTCTGGAAAAGGACGAAGTCAATAAAGTTCAGTTTTAATTTGAAAAAATAAATAAATAATCAAAATATTCAATTAAAATCGCTACTGAATATAATTTATTACAACATATGTGATTTGCACTTGTATGAAACTCAAACACGTATTCCGAATATACAAACTAGAAACATGTGGATAAATATTATAAATATGAATACCTATAACTGTTACTTTATTACAAAAAATAAAGATGTGGTTTTTGGTTCTACTCACCAATGGTCAAGAGATGGCGCTGTAGTCTCCTGAATCGCGCTTTGGTTCCGTTGTTCCAGATTAATAAATACTTTTTGTTACTTTATTACAAAAAATAAAGATGTGGTTTTTGGTTCTACTACACCAATGGTCAAGAGATGGCGCTGTAGTCTCCTGAATCGCGCTTTGGTTCCGTTGTTCCAGATTAATAAATACTTTTGATAGGCCTTCACAATGCAGTCATTAGCACCCACTAAATAGAGATTCTATTTCTATTTTGTTGGTAGATTTTCTTAATGTGCGGTAAACACAAAAGTAACGCATGAAGTTGGTCGCTAAAGCGACCATCTTCATTATGTTAAAATTTTGTGTTACAGTGATGCGCGCGCATCTTAAAATTTCACTCTCATCATTTTTTCATAACGCGCCTAAAGAAGTATAACTTCAAAAACTGAAAGAAAACGAAAACAAAAAATCTGGCTATGGAGGTTGTATATTTTTTTATCATGTTAATACGGCGTTTTCAGTCACATTATTATATATATACTCTATTGCATATTATTATTATTAACTTGATCGTTTATACTCGTCCTTAACGTTTTTTATCTTTAGGTTTTTGGTTAAAATACTTTGTTCACGTGAGTATCAGTAATGTTTACTTAAACTTTGGCTTTTAATATCCAGCAACATGTTAAGCTTACCTCGTTTAGATTAATGAACGAGGACGACGCACTATGGGAACTTTGACTCATTTTCATCTCAAAAATCTGTTACTCCTGTGTTAATAAAGATATTATCATGTTTTTTTTTCTGATATTCTTGAATATATTTGCTTTTAAATAATGTATAATTTGTGTATATAATTTTGTTTATAATACTTACAAAAAATAGGAAAACAAAAAATATACAATTTTTAGACTTACATCTATGTTTTAATAAGTTTATAAAGGTAACTAGTAAATGTAACTGCTTAAATTTAAAAACCAAACGTCATAGTAGCTCAAATGTCACTTAAGAACTACCTTTTTTCATCTAAAAGTTCTAAATATTTTTATTATACGGTTTTCTCAAAGTTGTAATGTACGGATCAGAGGTATACAATAGTGTGTAGAACATCTTCGTTGGTGGCTGTCCTGAAATATTTTCTTGCATGATGAAGCCTGAACTGTTTGTAGTTTTTGTTCCGTGACTCTTGAGCATCTTTTAAAAGTTGCCCAAGAGGCAATACCGAAAGATGACGTATGACACTTTTACCATGAATCAAAACATTGTGCACGGAAGATGGCATATAGTACAATTTATATTTATTAACATACAGTTGTGCTCAATCAAATCCCATCTCCAATTTCTGTTTTGGCTTAAGAACTGTTCTTTCTATCGACCAGCTTTAGTATAGCGTTGACGAAACTAAGTTTTGAAAGACTTCTGAATACTTGCGATAATTAAGCAATATTTGCATCGGAAGATTCGGTGAAATTGCTTCATATATAGTTAGAGATAGAAACACCATAATTTGTATCACTTTCAAACAATAAGAGATTTAGGTTGCGTCTGGTACACGAACACTGACTCATTGCGGCGAGATATTTAAAAAAACAATTATTTACGACAAAAAATAATGAGGAACTGTAATATTTATACTCAAATGCACTATTTTATACCGAAAAATTATGGAAGACGTGTGCAAATTTAGTAGATATAAACTATTTTACAATTTTGCGGTTTTGCTATTTTTCCATGATTCTTATGGGAATGGGATCTAAATATTATGTGAAATACACGATATTAGTATAGCATAAGATAAAAAAAAAAATAACAAAAGGGCCAAGAGCCTTTATTTAAATGTCCGTGCTGAGAAACCCGAAATCAGACGAATCTTATTAAACGTACTGAAAAATATATGTTTTCACACGCTGATATTCTAAGAGATTTGACAATGTTATGCACTGAAACAGCAAAAAAAATTTGTTGCCGTTAAATTATATTATCTAAGAAATAACACAAAAAACAGAACTTCGGCAAGCTTCGGCAAATGTCAAAACTCCAACTGAAAGTTTAATAAACGAAAATAGTCCACACTATGATATAGATTTTTTTAAATTAAATAATATTAAAAAAACTGCATATATTTTAATTTTATAGAAAAGAAGACATTTTAAGCTTTCTAAAATGGTATCACACTTATATGACTTCTTTTATTATGATACTATAAAATTTTACCAAACTAACTGAAATCATATTAATATTTTGTATTTTTTTCATTCCATGACTTTAGATGTTCTTCTTTATAAAATACGAAGAGGCAGAGACTTAAATTAGATTGATTGTAATAAAGTAACTCTTTAGCTATAATTTGATGTATAATACATGCCTTGAGTGATTCAAGTTAGAAAAAAAACATTTATGAGATGGCTTTCTTATGCGGGTTCCCATAGTGCAACGAAACGAGACAGTGAAAATTATAAAACTGTGTCTGATATGCGAGCCAACTTGTGCAACATCAATGCCTCAATTAATTGTGTTCCTACCTAACGATAACGTTAGGAGCCCATTTGAGTCACTTGTCTAATCTAAACAATTGTTTGTCTATGGAAATCAATATGTATATCATCACTGGAGATTGCCTCGACCGGAGGATTAGGAAATTGTTTTGACATGAAATTCATTCATATACTACATGATAATGCACGTTTTGCTTCTTATGAACTTTTTGCATATCACTCCAATATAATCAAAGAAATCAGCAGAAACTTAGATATGCGCAACCATTTGAAAATTAACGAAACCTTGTCATCATCATAGAGCAAGTGGCGCCCACATATGCTAAGATCATTGTATTGAGCATGCGGCAGTAAGAATACAGACAATGAGATATTGAGAACATAATCAATAACTTATGCTTCGACATATGGATCGTTCATATATGAGTTGCTAGAGAACAACTAAGTGACTCTTCATCCAAATTCTCCCTCTTTATATTGGTATACAATATACATACCTATGGCCTCTCTAGTGTGTTGCTAAGGGAGGGGCTGGCTCGATGACTAAGAAACGATTTACTCGCTCACCAATCTCAGTCAAGGGTGCGCCGCGGGGTTTTTAGTTAGACTCATTGAATGCATTTTCATTGGATGGGATCCATGGAGGAGAGTCCCAGATAACGCATGAGTTTACTAATAGTTCATACCAAATTGTGTTCGGTATTTAAAATAGTGTAGGATTCAAGTCACGCACTTAAACTTTATTCATCATAAAAATAATTAAAAATATATTTAAGTTTGTGCTAATGAAATGAATCCCTTTCATACGATACCCCAACATAGACGTTAATAGACATAGCTTAACTCACTTCAAAATTTGGACTCCTGTTGCTTGTATAAAGACCCTGTCTATGTTTTGTAATTTTATTAAATGTATACGGCTTTCAGATTTACTTCTGTAGAAAAAAAGACAAAAAAAATTTGGTCACCTATACCATTATGTCCGCGCGCACTGTGGCTTAACCACGATGATTGTAGCAAATGTACAGATTTTCGTTTTTTTCGGTACTTGCCATATTTGATAATTCTAGGTCAACGGAAAGTACTCTATAAATTTTCATTCAATCGAGTGTCGAAATATAAGTTTTTGCAAGATAAACGTCGTATCTTTTACTACGTTAACTTAAAAGTTAGATTTTTAGACAACTTCAAGGGCCCGTAGACTTGGGTTTAAATTTTTACTTGATACCTCCACGCGTTCCCGAGATAAAGGGTATTTACAGCCAGACAGACGAACAACAAAGTGATCCTATAAGAGTTCCGTACGAACTCTAATAAGGCAGCAAAAGTCGTCGCTTCAATAATCAAAATCTTCGTGACTGTGATAAATGTTAGCTACTTATAGCATATTGCATAAAACTGTACCGGTACACGCAAATAGGGCAATAACCGATGCCCTAGCTTTCTGAATCCATACAAATGTACGATCGTGGCAGTAAACTGTGCCATTGACCGAATGCCAATGAAATCAGAGTAGCATTGAATGTCTTCATTGAACAAAGAAGGCGAATTAAAAATATGATATATATACATGCTGCATAAGTTAAGTTATTTTCAGTCTTTGTGTACCTGTGACTTCGACTGCATGAAAAAAAAAAGGTTTTCCATACAAACTAACACAATTTTTTCAACGTAAAGGAACAATTGTGGAATAACTATTCTATGTTCTCTCCCGGGACCACTAACTAAACTATCTTCATACCAAATTTCATCCAAATCGATTTAAACGTAACGTGAAGAGGTAACAGGCAGACACACATTAGCATGTATAATATTAGTATGGATACCGAATATTGTTGAATTATAATAATTTAAACAAAAGGTATTAAAGTTCTGAAGAATAGGTCCGTCCGCATAGGCTTTCAAGTCTCCTCCTAAAAGAACGCTTTTTGCGAAGATGTTAATGGAAGATGAGTATGCTAATATAACGATATAACAAACAAACGTCAATTAATTAGGACTCTTATTCTACTTGCATCCATACTTTTGACTGAGGGTTCGTAGTAACAAAATACTTGCAAAATAGATACAGCTTCAATGGATTACATTTATGAAAAAAAAATGATTAGAATCCTAAATAATCTTATAATCCTTCAGGTAATAGAGTAAAGAACAAACCCGTACCGAACAAACTAGAATTTAGTTTGTGTATGGGCGTGCGTCACAATCACGCGAAATGGGCAAGATGTAGGTGCTTTAATCAAATGGGTATGGTATTGTAAATACTTTTCATAACAAGGGGAATTTAAACGCGAAAGTAAGTTTGTTTGTTTGTTACGCCCTATCACTGAATGGATTTGGATGAAATTTGGTACACATATAGTTTATGACCTGGATTGAGATAATATAAGATATATTTTATCCCAGAAAAGTATTAGGTTCTTGAGGGATTTTCAAAAAACTAAAGTTAACGGGGCCGCTAATCTGTAGTAAATCTGTAAATTGTACAGGATAACAAAATATTAGGTTAAAATTTTCCCAAGTCCATTTAAGACGTGTTTGTATTGTCCTCAGGGGTCTCAACATCAGACATAGTGGCGAGGATAGTGCGCGACTACGACGTCTATGTGAGGCGAAATCTAGCGCGCGGCTACTCAGCCAAGGAGCTCAACGTGTCCTTCCTAAACGAGAAAAAGTTCCGGCTGCAGAACAAGATGGACGAGCTCAAGGACAAAGGGAAGAAGGTATGACGCACTCACTTATACTTAACTACACTACAGATACCTTTCGAAGTTGATAGTGCTTCAAATATATGCTGACACTAGCTGTGCCCCGCGGTTTATTAGGGATATTTTCCCGCAGTAAAACGTAGCCTATGTGTTAATTCAGGGTGTCAGCTAACTCCATACCAAATTTTATTAAAATCGCTCCAACCGTTTAGACGTGAAGAAGTAACAAACATACTCACAAACTTTCTCCGTTATAAAACAGTTTTTAAACGAGTATGCTATGACTATGATGCGTCACTTATTGAATTTTCATTACATTATGCTCGACGTTCGGTATCCTTTCTTTTCAAGCTTTAACTGCCTTATTCCAAAACGCGGACTAAAGTTAGTCATGGTTTAAACCTAATGCTGTCTCTGTCTTTTTATTAGCAAACAAAAGGGACAGCAACACGTTCTATACCCGGTTGAACTTTAGTCTACGTTTTGTAATAAGGCGGTTAAGGTCACAAAACATTTGTCTTTAAGTTTTTGTGGACGTCTTACAACCGTTATTATCAAAAATATTGCTATTATTGTCGTAGGTCATGACGAATATCGGCGAGAAACGAGTAGACATACTGACCAAATGGGAGGAGAAGTCGCGCGAGCTCATTGACGCGTTCCTCCTGCTATTCGGTCCGGATGGACGGCTGTCCAGTATCTGGAACGAGTCCAAGGGGCGGCTCATGCAGGCGCTCAGCCAACCGCCCTCGCCGGGTGCCTCGCCGCCGCCCAGCGAGAACGGGGACTCCCCGCCCGCACACAGGTGAGGAGTGCCACAGGTGCAGCAAGGCGAAGGGGCGGCTCATGCAGGCGCTCAGCCAACCGCCCTCGCCGGGTGCCTCGCCGCCGCCCAGCGAGAACGGGGACTCTCCGCCCGCACACAGGTGAGGAGCGCCACAGGTGCAGCAAGGCGAAGGGGCGGCTCATGCAGGCGCTTAGCCAACCGCCCTCGCCGGGTGCCTCGCCGCCGCCCAGCGAGAACGGGGACTCCCCGCCCGCACACAGCTGAGGAGTGCCACAGGTGCAGCAAGGCGAAGGGGCGGCTCATGCAGGCGCTCAGCCAACCGCCCTCGCCGGGTGCCTCGCCGCCGCCCAGCGAGAACGGGGACTCTCCGCCCGCACACAGGTGAGGAGCGCCACAGGTGCAGCAAGGCGAAGGGGCGGCTCATGCAGGCGCTTAGCCAACCGCCCTCGCCGGGTGCCTCGCCGCCGCCCAGCGAGAACGGGGACTCCCCGCCCGCACACAGCTGAGGAGTGCCACAGGTGCAGCAAGGCGAAGGGGCGGCTCATGCAGGCGCTCAGCCAACCGCCCTCGCCGCCGCCCAGCGAGAACGGGGACTCCCTTCCCGTACACAGGTATACTATGCATCCCGGCAAACTACTACATTTTTTTTTCTCTCTTTATTTGTGGCTACAAACAGTCATATATTTTAATATAATTGTTCTGTGGTTACAGTGAAATTATAAGAGACGACCTACAGTACCAGCAATTTAACTTATTAGTTACAGAAAAACATTATAGAACAAGTATTGTACTTAAAAAAATACATAAGAAGAAGAAAGATGATGAGGAAATGAATTCTTGAGCATTAACCAACCAAGACAAGGAAGTCTGCGCAGTTGCAATTTTACATATAAAACGTCTACTGCGAGTTTATTTTAATAGTCTATTTGTCACTGGTTTTATCCTATATCATCATCAAAGCTTGGCTCAAGCGGGTATGCAGTCTCTAGTGGGGATGCTCTGTGGAGCCAGGCTTTGAAGCAGTTTTATTCAGAGTAAATGCATACCTATTGCACATGGGCAGTGCCGTCTTTGACCTATTGGAGGCCCTGGACATATTAGGATAATGGGGCCCCTATGACTTCCGTTTGGTGATTTAACAGAAATTAGTGACTCTGTATTTGATCTGAGGGGACCCCCTATCGATCGCGGGCCCCTGGGACCTGCCCAAAGTGCCCACTGGGAAAGACGGGTCTGCACATGGGTATTGCTATTATCCATGAAGTGCCCGTCCCCAACTGAGCTTGCGTACCAACTATAGCTATATGCGTAAAAGTAGACCTCGATAACAACGACATATTATTACAAAAACAAAGGGAAACACATCTATCTACAGACCGATATCACTATGGATAAACTGTTATCTCTCTACAGTGGATGCACTTCCCATGATGTACAAATTCATTTAATAATGTCGGAAATATCTGGTGTCGAACCGACTTATTCTTATTTAATATGCGCCAATCTTATTGCGAACAAAGAAGTCGGTAGAACCTATATTACGTAAGCTTTGAAGCTGGATGGGTAGGAAGAAGGGTAGGTCGGTAGCTTAGAGATGAGGACAAAAATTTGGGAAGCAAACGGTAATGGATTTGAATACATTCTAAAGTACAGAACCTGACAGAGATATAAAATATTGTCAGTCATTTCTTTTATCAGTCAGGTATAACACAACAATATTTTATTATTATTATTACTGTCGTCAGGCAGGCACTTGTAACAACTGATTAATGCCTGTATCCTACTATCTTATATTTATTTTTCTCTATTTAAAATAATGCGTCCCTTAATATATTCATAGACTGTGCTGAAACCACTACTGCGGTCAATGGTTCCAGGCCTTAATATCCCTGCTGTTACTGAAAAAGTGTCTATGAGAGTTATTGGACGATTAGGCCTGTGCCAGTTAGATGATGTCCTCTTAAATGAGGACAATTCTTTATCAAATCTTATGAGATCATAATGTCCCTTTAAGTTTAAGCATATCATGTCCCTCCTTTTTCTACCATTTGTATGCTAAGATTCGGTCTTATTTTCAGAGGGTCAGCGTCGCCACCTCCGCCCAAGTCGCGTCGCTACGAGACGCTTTGGGAACCGCAAGCAGGTAACTGGGTAATTATGCATCGCTTGTATTTGCTACCATTACACCTCACCTTCACTAGATTATCTCCAGTTGTTGACATTACTATTATATACCTGCCTTTTAGAAAATTAGTTGGAATAGAACAAGCTGGAGATTAATGGCCACACACCGCTCACACATCATTTTCTTTTGCACTTTGAATGATTTATTTACTTTTATTTGCGATGTCATTTCACTGTTATTGGTGTCGATTCTGGCAGGATTCTCTAAACTAAATTTGACATCAGTCTGTCCTTTTCAGTCTGTATAGAGAATGACAGAGATACACTGTTGTCAAATTTAAGTTTAGCTTTAGAGAATCATACCAGTATCGACACCATTGTGTAGGTAAAGTGATAGAATAATAGACTTAAAAGTAGATTGAAACCATAGTCTTTTCCTGTACTTATTCAAGGTGCGCTCCTACCGCCTGTTTATGGTCTCCATCTACCACATGATGGTCGGACAATAATATTCTGGTGTCGATTCTGACATGATTCTCTAAACTTAAAACTTAATTAAAAATCAGTCTCTCCTCTTCATTCTGTATTGAGAATGACCAGGATACACTGTTGTCAAATTTAAGTTTAGCTTTAGAGAATCATGCCAGAATCGACACCAATATCAATCCTTTAAAGTATCACAATGTTTTAAATTCTCAAATTGATACAGTGTGAGTTTCACATTGCCTACAAGATATTAAAATAAAAAAATACTTATTTCTTTAATGATTTTTCATACTTTAAAACATTAAAAACCACTTTAAAAAATTGCATTTAGAAATTTTAGCAAAATGTGCATTTCAAAAATAAATTGTAATATAATTCACATATCTCACATAATCTATACTTCACTGAAACAAGTTAGTGGAGCACTTTCTTGATCACAATGGCTTTCTAAAGACAAGAATGGAAAACTGTATCACACAAGTAAGAGGGCTGACATTGGCCAGAGCATCGACTGTTAAAGATCTTGAAGCATTGTAAACGTATTTAAGCGAGTAACTTTATAAAAGAGTATGTAATGTAATGTAGAGAAGCTCGATGCGCGTTCGGCTGCGATCATCGAAGTTAAGCAACTTTCGCAATGGTTGGTCATTAGATGGGTGACCATAAATTTACAATCTCGAGCTCCTCCGTGCTTCGGAAGGCACTTTAAGCCGATGGTCCCGGCTGGCCTGTGCTGCAGTGGAGACATTAATAGGCTGGTGATGTGTGTGGATTCAACTTGATTATGTATTGGTCGACGCTTAAGATTATACATTCAGTGACACTATTTTAGTTGGGTGACGTTAGCACCCACCAATCCGCATTGAGACGCGTGGTGGGTCATGGTCCAATCTCCCTATTCCATCAATAGTGAAGGCCTGATGATGATGTTATGTAATATTGAGACCATTTTGTGCAGATGCATCGGGCTCTGAGCGTGATGGGGACTCGCAAGAGGCCGCACAACGCCAGCTGACCGACGACGGCTCCGAGGACAGCGACGACGACTACCAGGACACCAGCCCCTACCTTTAGGCATCCTCGACACAATGGAACTCATACAAAGTATATTTTTATACGATGTACATCGTCCACGATTCATTTTGAAGCGCTCATTGCAGCTGCAATAGCCGACGCTCCCCATTGTGCGTCAGCAATGTTAAATTATTTGTAGTTAAGTTTCGAAATTCGCATGAGTGTTGGAGTAAAAAGGAGTGAATGTATTTATCCTATTAGTTTTAATTTATATCGGATTATTTATGTTTATAAGTAATTTTATCTCTCCATGAAATAAATGTTTGGAGAATGTCTGCAATTTGTTAGCACCATTATACCATTGAAGATATTATGTGCAGTAACTGTTGCATAGATTATACTTTCTGACAGTTGATTAAAAAGGTGCTTATTATTTACATACATAAGTTTGTTTTATTTTATTTTTTTCCCTCAAATTGTAGAGGACTTGGAACAAACACAACGGCAGATATTTAACGCAAGATTTACGAACATAAATTCGAGGAGACGTTTCCTCTTTTCGAGATAGTTTGCTATGAAAACGCATGCGTCAAAGAGTTTTGACAGTCCAATAAATATGTAAGCTCTTAAAAGGGCATGTTAAAGTTTTGTATGAGCGCTGCCCTAGAGCAATGTATAAATACTGTACTTAGTAATATTTAATGCTGAATGGCTGAAAGTTTATAATTTCTATGAAAAAGGGCTCAGGAACTTCTGATAAAGTTACAATACTGAAAAATATGTGAACACCTACTACATCATTTTCTTGCTACATTTGATAAAAGATATTGCCAATTATTTACAGAGCTATCAATTTCGCATTTTCTTAGAATCTTTTATATAATTTCTCTGATTAACACTTCACAAAAAGTATTTTAAAACAAGGAGTAAATACAAATAATTTGTTGTTATCGGCCTGACAGGAAATCTGTGAAGTTTTATTTTGTTCATTTGCAAAAATTAAAGAATTAATTTTAATACAGATTTGTCTTGCATCTGATCCGAAAAATCAAATCTATTATTTTAACCCTTCAGTGATTAGTTATAAAAAATAGGGCCAAGTATTTCATAGTTCTTAGGAGTTTGGAATTAATATTGTTTATTTCGATATACAGTAGAACCCGTTTAATACGATTTCTCGCATAAAACGCCATTTTGCGACCGTCCCTGCAACTTGAGACATGTTTTCATATATTACTTAACGCTTAATACGATTCGTCATCCTGTTTAATACGCCTAAATCGCCAACGCGATTGACGTGACGACTGTTGAGCGACAGACGCTAAGCGGCCCGCAGGGTTTTCCTGAATATCCTTCCGTTGATGATGAGGCACCGTATAAAATTCATTGAGAATGTCTATAACACATAAGAAGAGGTCCCAAGTGATTATTATCAAGAAGAAGATGAGTCAACTCCGATTTTGTCACACGCCCAGGCATTCATCATCAGCCTATTAATGTCCCCACTGCTGGGGCACAGGCCTTTTCTAGGGATGGAATAGGGAGATAGGGCCATGACCCACCATGCGGGCCCAGTACGGATTGGCGGGTGCTAACGACTGCAGATGCAGCCGGGGACAACGGCTTAACGTGCCTTCCGAAACACGGAGGAACTCGAGATAGAAGATTTTTGGTCACCCATTCAATGACGTGCCTTCCGAAGCACGGAGGAACTCGAGATAGATGATTTTTTGTCACCCATCTATTGACCTACCACTGCGAAAGAACGCACTAACCACCAGCGCCATCAAGGTCCCCCCGGCAGGCATTATCAGCAGATAATGATTTAAAACACTATGTAACTTCTTTGAATCAAAGCGAAGACGCACTGTAAAGTTAAATTATGTTGAAAATCTTGTAATTGCTAATGCCTTAAAATCTGTTTGACAAACTAATATAGGTAAGTGATTAATTTAAATATAGTAATAATAAAGTATAAATACACTAAATTTTTTGTAACATAATTCTTAAATATTTTACATTTATCCTCAATCAACGATATTAAATACCCTAGATACACCACGTGCCCTCAAAATGTGTCCCTATCAAGAAGTGCTTGAACACGACTCAAGCACTTCTTGGTTCACAGTCACGCGCAGACCGTTGAAAAGTCAACATGCCGCTGAGCTCCGTGAAAAATGCGAAATAAATACTTATAGTATGTAAAATGACGTTTTTTCGACGGGTATCTAATCAATGTGTGTTAATTTAACGCATTTCAAGCTGTTTTAATACTTACTATAAACTGATTTAATAGAAAATATTTGTGATATTCAAATGCATGGTCAGTAATATAGCCGTCTCTTTTCTTCGAGGTCCGTATCTGCTATACTGCTAACAGCGCATTCAGAATTGTTTCGTAGAGACAAAGAAATTCCAAAAGAAAATTTATGTCCAAAATATATTATCTTTATATAATATAAATAAGTAAGTGACATATAAATATATAATACAACCTCCGTAGATGCAGTTTTTTATGCCTATATAATTTAATGCCTACTTTAACTATAAACAAATAAGTCTCTATCTAATTACATTACACTATATATAAGTAAAATATAAATACTAGAACAATAAAACTAAAAACCTTAAAACATAAAATTAATAACTAAAATATATTATTAAAAGGAGTCCTTTTAGGCAAGGATCCGAAGATACTGGCAGCGTTACCCCTTTGAATGGCTAGACTAATTCTTTGTCCGAGGTAGCTGCCAGCTCTTCGGTCTCCTGTGACGTCGACTAACTATTATAGCTATTTCCTTAAATAGCCTTAAAGCGGTAGGACCCCACGGACCAAGGGTCTCGTCACCAAATGGGACAAAATCATATTCGGAGCCTAGACCCCTGTATTTGCTTGCTTTTGATTTTTCAGCCGCTTCACAAGCCGCACCAGCTCTGTTGATGGTTCCATGTAGATGGGAAGGGGCCAGCGTGTCTGAACAGGTTGCATCCCATACCAGCACCCGACCCATCTTCCATGGAATCAAACTCATACCGTCTGGTCTCTTACCATCGTCTCTTGCAATACCAGTCGGCTCCAAGTCTACTTGGCACGTTGACAGTGTCAAGGGACCGGCGTATGATATCATTAAGTGCGGCATGTCTCGAGAAGCCGCCTGCACTTTTTTGGCATGACAGTCCGTGATGTCCTAGTTTGTCGACACCACTGCCACAGGGACATTTATGAGGAGCGCAGACCGGGACCCCAAGCCGTAGACAGGTTGCGATTCAGAGCGTGTCAGGCTCAAGAAATGTTCCTGTATTTGACGAGGGGTACGCGTAAAGCCAGTAGCCGACCTCGTGCGCACCCACGGCCAAAAGCCTAGCACGCGCCGAACCTGTACTACAGCTCAAAAGGTTATCATAAGTAATATAATATATATTTATATGTGACTTACTATTATCATACTTATTAACATTCTTTTTATTTGCATTATTGTTCGCGGTGGCATAGCATTTATCTCTAAGTCCTAAGTAATCTGGAACTGATGAAGTAACCCCATGTTTTGTGTCCATGTCCTTAAAATAGCGATTTTGGTCAGGTGCCAGGAGACTCTCAATTAGAGATGACAATCCTTATCATTGGCCTATATACCAATACCTATTTTTATTTCATTCTCAGAATATCTCATTCTTAGGTAAAAAAATTATACCCAAAATCACAGAAGTGGGAATTATCTTATTTATTATCTTTGTTTCTATAGAATTACACTGTATAATTATATCTAAAAATCATAATTCAAATGATAAAGTATACCTCATAGGTAGTTCAATAATACACTTATTTTTTACTTAACATAAATATTTTGTCTGTAGTTTGCACCCTTTTTGTATAAAAGTAATAAATAATACGAAATTAAACTGCTAACCGCAAATCAACAGTCCGTTTATCTTTTAAGTATGGAATGGCATCAGTCTTGTTACCCCAGCTTCTCCATCCACAGCTGTTCTTCTTAGCTGCAGTACTAGTACTACCGGTAGCACCACTGCACAGGACTTTTAAGTTTACCCACTAAACTATAGGTGTATTCCAGCCCTCCAGCTCCACTATAGACACATTAATTTTATTATCATATCCTAAATAGTATCATACAGTAAGTGTATATAAGATTAACTTACTCTTTGTACCTCATGAGGCTTGGAGAAATGGGGGTAGATTGGTGGTGCTGCTGGGCTGATATACACCCAATATTGAATTACTTAACAAAGTCTATTCAGTTTCTTATGATAAGTGGCTTAGAAGTAGTTAACATAGATTCGTGAAAATGTACTTCAGGAAACATAATTTTGGATAGAGTAGAGATGCACCAAATGTTAAGCCAAATACTTGTATACAGTTTTTGTTAGTAATCAGTCCAACATTCAGTTGATTTGCAGAATAATGACAGAATATTGAAACATTGTTGTTTTTGCACTAACAGTTTGTTTTTATTTTTTTTGTTTTAATTTAAACTGGAGCACCCAACTCCGTAATTAATATCTACCTTTTAGAAAACCAAAGATAAAACATTTCCTTGTGGTGGTGTTGTATATTTGTCAGCGAGTTACACATAAGCTCAATAAATAGGCAAAGAGATATGAAATGTCACAAAGACACTTCTCTTCAGCTTTGAATAGGGAAACTAAAGTAAAACGAAGTTTAGCCCCAGGGCTAAATAAGTAAGGGAATGGGTTCAGGTGAGCAAGGATAGGATGGATGGTGTCATATTTTTTTTAAAAGCATAGATTATTAACTTTCATTGTTATCCACTCACAATTCACATCCGATGGGGAAATTTAATGTGCCTTGTAAAGAAGATATTTTTTTATTGTTTATCAACAATTCCTTAGGATATTTACCATAGAAATATTTTTAATAAATTTAAAACTGAGGAATTACTATAATTTTGACAATATCAATAGGAATATTCTGTTGGGTATAATTTAAATGGATCTTCCACTGAACATTTAGATTTGCTTGAACACACATTGGGCACATCTCTTTTTTTTGGCTAACTTATAATCAAAATGAAGAGTAACATTAACATATATGTTTAATGTATTATTTCTAAATAATTGATGGTAAACCTCAGAGCTCTGATTTATGTAAACTTCCATGCTCACCCTTAGTATTAGAATTAGAAAGAGTTTCATAAAGACAAGAGTCATCAGCTCCTTTTAAAGCATGTTTCGTACACAGATGAATCTGCAGATCGGCATCGCCCTGATGATTCCAATACCAATCTTCAACGGCTTCTTCATTTTCTTCCAAAAGACTTTCACACTGACTTTTCATATTAGTTATTTCAGCCGAAGGTTTGTCCCAAAGTTCGTAGGGAATACCGAGGTCTACTTTTACACCCTTGTCAACTAGTCCATGTAGAGTTTGAAAAGTTTGACTCATTCCCTTTGCAAATCGAGTGCTATCCTGACGTTCTTTATGTATATTGTATTCCAAAATTTTGTCACAGACCCCCTCCAACGATTCTATTAATCTTAACTCAGACTTTTGATACTTCATTTTCTTCTTTGGCTGAACATCATCCAATGAATATCCGATTTCAATTACATCGTGTACTTTACCGGTTTCTTCAAGCCTACCTTGCAGTTCAGTGGCTAGTATCTTACATACTTCACATCTGTTTGCGTACTTAACACCGACGTCCTCCTCAGTTTTAATATCTATGTTATGGTTACAACTCACTTTATTTAATAATAAGACTAACAGAAGAAATGCACTTTTGATTTTTAACATAGTTAAAAATAAATTTAAGTTCATATTTTGAGATCGCCACCACAATGAATGAATCACGAATCACCACAGACTAGTTAGAGATACGACGTCGAATCACGAATGAGATTGTTTTTTTTATGGTTCTCCCTTTTTTAGGGTAGGCTTAGGGAACAATGCCCATACAGCCTAGTCTTCAATTTCTTTCTTCTTTTTATTATATTAAAATGTGGTTGTGACACATTCTAATGTTTCTTGGAGTGTTTGGCACGAAATGTATCGAGCTAGCTTTTGTGAGGTAGTCAACAATACAATAAAGTTCTCAATTCCACTTGACCGAAACAGCGTTTAATTTAAAGATTCCACTAATTCTTCAGTTGTGTAGACGGTTGTAACACAAAATCACACCAACTTTGTTTCACAATTTCCACTATGAACGAATAAATGAATAATTAAAGAAGACCCGCCAAGATCAAGAATCCAAAAACTCCTCAGCCTCACCACTGTCACCACGAATGTTTTTTTTTTTAGTTCTATTCTTCCCTATTGAGAATGGCAAATGCAAAGCCATGCAGCCATTGTTTTATTTTTGTATCAATCGTAATCGAAACCAACGCTCGCTATGAAGGTGCCTACGTTTAATTAATACCTATTCAGAGCTCAAACCCAATAACCTACCATATACTACCTAGTAAAAACTTTTGTTGTTTAGGTATGTTTCAATTATAAAGATAATAACTTAGGAATAAGTGTTTGCTTTATAAAGTCTACGCTACGTTAAAACCACCCTGCTGTACATATGTACATCATGGTGGATCATCATCATCTTTATTTTTATTGTCTACTCAAAAAAAATATAACTAATATGGCCCTTTTAGCTATATACGTTTTTTTTTTCATTTAACTGCATTATAGCAGAACTACACTTATCTGTCGTGTTGTGTGGTAACCAAGAAGCTTATATACAACACAGGAGATGGCAGTGCAAAGAATACCTTGAAGGGAAAAAATGTGGCCTTGAATGAAGTCACATATGTTTATCATCTCTTTCTAAGGGTGACCATGTTGGAATATACGTTTAGGATACATACTTACTGGTATCGTCTTTAAACAATTTATAAATCAAAGTGTTTTAGTTGATAGGAACTTGGGAACACATTATTTAATAGTAATAAAATTCACAAGTACAAAAATCATTTTATTCATATTAGATGCGTCTTATCTTATTCAATGTCAAAAACTTTTATAAAAAAATTAACGAGAAAAAATATGCAAACCCTTCTTAAAATCGCTAGAAATGCCTTTTACTAAGAACGGACTAGAAACTCTAAGGTACACATTTTGGCTGATAAATAAAATTGACCTTTTAATGGTATTGTTACGTATCGGGATGGGGTTCGAAATTATATGCCAGTTCACGATTGACAGTTCTTTATTCACCACACAGTTCACACAATTAACACACTATGTTAATTACTAAAAACTCACTAAACACTGTATTTCACTATACAAGTCTCTAAACAATCTCACTTGAACACTTTTGTTGCACTTTCATCGCCTTTGGATTCGCTCCGAAATCGCTGTTGAAACTCAACTGTCTCTGCGCGGCGCCAATCGCCCTTATATACGCCGATCTAATTATATGCATATGCATTCTAGAAAGTACCTGTTAAATAAAACTAGTTTTTACGGGTTAATGCACGAAACTTTATTTATTTATTGACGTTTCGCAGCCTTTTCAGGTCTGCATCGTCAGTACTACATTCTGACGATGCAGACCTGAAAAGGCTGCGAAACGTCAATAAATAAATAAAGTTTCGTGCATTAACCCGTAAAAACTAGTTTTCTTTAATGAGTGATGTGCGTGAAAACCTAAGAAACAAATAAGTACCTGTTAAATTGAGAATTACCTAGCACCCGCGAGTACGAAATACCTACTTATACCTACGCAAGTAACACGCATAACTTGTAAACAAGTGCAGATATCGTTGCACTTTCTCCTTTACGTCGCACTGCATAAGGCTCATTTTAGAATGAGCCGCCTTACTCGACTTTTATCGCGACCCGCGGTGCTCTGGCAAATTCGATTTCTAGCACATTCGCGGTTCCGATTCGAGAGCGTTTGTGACAGTATAATGGACAACCAAGAATTTCTTTTAATGACATCTTTCGGGAAGCTGAAACATAAACAAAGGTATAAGACCGCTGCTAGATAGCTGTTATTAAATAGGTTTTCTACATCTAATCAACATGATCTACTACAGTATTTATTATAAACTTATTTTCATATTTTGAACTTTGTAATTAATATCTACAATAATACTTATGTATTTTAACTTTCTCAAAATATCTCAAGTGTAGTGATAATGGTTACCCTACAAAACCAAAATTTATATTATTTTAATTTAATAAACTGCTGAATATGGTACGAAATGTAGTGAATAAAACAAAAATAACGTTAATTTATAGCCTCAGAACACTATGATTTATAAATACTAACGTTTTATTATGATTACAACATAAAAAAATATGGGTGCGTGTACTTAAGTACGCGCGTGAGAAGTTATACTTCTTTTTGGAATTATTAAAAAATAGTTTTTAATTGCATGCAGATAATTAATTACAATAAGATAATAAAAGGATTGGAAAAGGATAGTCAACGCAGTCAATAAAGTTCAGTTTTAATTTGAAAAAATTAATAAATAATCAAAATATTCAATTTAAATCACTACTGAATAAAATTTATTAGCACATATAAATTTCGCATTTGTATAACATTATAACACGTGTTAAGAATATAGAAACTAGAAACATGTGGATAAATATTATAAATATGAAAACAGTGATCAGAGGCGACGAGCGTCCCAACATGTGCGACTAAGAGATCCTATTACTATTTTGTTGGAAGCTTTTTTTCGAGACTTACGAGTAATGTGCGGTTTAGCGGCCGACTTCATGGTGTTACTTTTCTATTACAGTGTTGCGCGCGCATCTTAAAATTTCACTCTCATCATTTTTTCATAACGCGCCTGCGGCTAACTTCATTATGTTACTTTTGTGTTACAGTGTTACTCTCATAATTTTTTCATAACGCGGCTAAAGAAGTATAACTTCAAAAATATAGAAATATGTTTATTTCGGTATTGGCGTAATGTAATAGACTTACCTGTGAAATTTAGTGCTGGAATTTGGTTCCCAAACACTTCTGCAATCTCGCACAACACAATACATATTATAAATAGCAAATTGAACAAAATAACACTTTTTTTAATAATAATCTAAACATTCGAAGCGGTAGATTTTTTTTGACAGATCGGAGATATTCTTCAGTTGATTTTTTAATTAGTGTTGCTATTATACCAAAATGGTAGCAACCAGCAAACAGGGAAACAAAGGGCGTATTTATTATTTAGTTTTAAATATTGATGTCAAAATAGTTGGTTAGAATTTGTCACACTCATCTTATAATAGTAATACAAAGGTAGGACTTCTGGAGATTGTAAAACTGATTGATATCTTGCATAGTTCTGTATATTTTCACTTTCTGATTGGAATTTCTTGTATTTAACATGGTAATTTCAGATAGTGTGTGAGAGAGATAAAAAACATATCATGGGGTTAATGAACTCATCTTCATACAGAAGTTCTACATGCAATCTCCAGTGTTGTATATAAGCTTCTTGGTGGTAACGCATCAGAGAGCTATTTTGTTCATACATTTAATATGGATCCTTAGGATACAGTGAGACCGCTGTCGACACATCGCGACATAAGTATAGTTCTAACCGTACTAAACAAATGAAGCAGATCGCGTCACAACTTAGTCACAACACAATACGTTAGATAATATAGTTCTGCCTTTAGTTTAATATTTCTGCAGGGCCGTCCTTTTTATCTAAGAATCGTCTCTTCTAGGTCCTAAAAGTCAGCAGGGCAAAGTGAGCAGAAATCAAAAAATGGGTGCGTGTACTTATGTAGGCGCGTGAGAAGTTACCCTTCTTTGGCATCGTTTAAAATTAGTTTTTAATTGCATGCAAATAATTAATTACAATAAATTAATAAAAAGTCTGGAAAAGGACACAGTCAATAAAGTTCAGTTTTAATTTGAAAAAATAAATAAATAATCAAAATATTCAATTAAAATCGCTACTGAATATAATTTATTAGAACATATGTGATTTGCACTTGTATGAAACTCAAACACGTATTCCGAATATACAAACTAGAAACATGTGGATAAATATTATAAACTAGCGGCCCGCCCTCGCTTCGCTTCGGTGTAGAGCTGAAGTGTAGACTACAGTTTTTGTTCTCAGGCTTGTATTATACACAATGACATTCATCTATGATTCTTCTTATACCTGCATGCAAAGTCTCAGCCCGATCGGTTTAAAATTGATAAAGTTTCATACAAACTTTCATTCCTTATTTTATCCCCTTGGGATTTTCTTTATATTTTTTTCCGTAAGAACCTTGTACAGAGTATTATAAAACTACAAAAAAAAAACAGCCAAATCGGTCAAGCCGTTTTCATGTTATGTCGTGACAACGGAAAACGGGTTTCATTTTTATATATATAGATATGAAAACAGTCTCTGTTCTAAATTCAAAACTCGTAACTTTTCTCGATGTTTGTTGTACGTGTTTCCCGCGCTAGGACCGCGAGTGGCCGCGCATGCGTACGGTGCGGCGGGCGACGCGGTAATATAAGGTACTCTGTGGCGGTAATGGCAGCGCGGCACATGAAGTTGGTCGCTAAAGCGACCAACTTCATGGTGTTAATTTTTTGTGTTACAGATGCGCGCGCATCTTAAAATTTCACTCTCATAATTTTTTTATAACGCGCCTAAAGAAGTATAACTTCAATAAAATTATTTGGTGCTTGCAGGGCATATTAAGTGCGGTATTCCGAAATTAATTGCTTTTCAATTTTTTCTGCTAATGACTGCTCTGCCAGCTGAAGTTAGCAGAGCAGTCGAAAATCATTTAAATTAAAAAAAAACTATTTGGAGCTTGCAGGGCGCATTAAGTGCTAATTTAGTGCGGTATTTCAGAATTAATTGCAAAAATGGTTTTTTCTAATAATGGCCGCTCTGTCAGCTTTTGATAAAGTTAGTAGAGCAAAAGCCGAAAATCAGTTTCATTGAAAAAATACTATTTGGTGCTTGCAGGGCATATTTAGTGCTAATTAAATGCGGTATTTCGAAATTAATTGCTTTTCTATTTTTTCTGCTAATGACTGCTCTGCCAGCTTTAGATAAAGTTAGCAAAGCAACCTTCAAAAATTAATTAAATCCAACAAAAACTTTTCTGTGCTTGCAGGGCACATTTAGTGCGGTATTTTGGAATTAATTGCAAAAGTTTTTTTTAATAATGGCCGCTCTGCCAACTTTGGATAAAGCTAGCAGTGCAATAGTCGAAAATCAATTAAAATAATCTATTTGGTGCTTGTATGGCACATTAACTGCTAATTTAGTGCGGTTTTACGAAATTAATTGCAAAAGTTTTATTTTTAATATACCTAACCGCTCTGTTAATAATTCATTTCGGAATACCGCACTTAATTAGCACTAAACTTGTAGGGCACAAGCACCAAATACTTTTTTTTCTTCAATTAAACTGATTTTCAACTTTTGCTCTGCTAACTTTATCCAAAGCTGGCAGAGCGGCCATTATTCAAAAAAACACTTTTGCGATTAATTCTGAAATTTGCCCTGCAAGCACCAGAAAACTTTTGTTGGATTGCATTAATTTTTGAAGGTTGTTCTGCTAGCTTTATCGAAAGCTGGCAGAGCAGTCATTAGCAAAAAAATAATCAAGCAATTAGTTTCGAATTGTCGCACTTAATTAGCACTAAATATGCCCTGAAAACACCAAATAGTTTTTATTCAATTAACCTGTTTTTTGACTTTTGCTTTGCTAACTTTATCCAAAGCTGGCAGAGCGTTCATTATTACAGAACCACTTTTGCGATTAACTCCGAAATACCGCACTTAAAGTGCCCTGCAAACACCAAAAAGTTTTTGTTGGATTTAATTACTTTTTGCTTGTTCTGCTAGCTTTATTTAAAGCTGGCAGAGCAAAAAAATTATCAAGCAATTATTTCGGAATACCGCACTTAATAAGCACCAAATATGCCCTGCAAGCACCAAATAGTTTTATTGATTTCTGCTCACTTTGCTCTGCTGACTTTTAGGACCTATCCCTTCTCAGATTTCGAATCGTCCGGAATACAACTCATGAACAGCAGGCCAATTATGCTCGCTATTTGTGATATTGTTTTGATGTCTATTTCACATTACGTATTATGCTCTCCGAAAAATGCGATATCAAAATGACATCAACTTATGCTATGATGATGATCAACTCTATAAAATGATATCAACTTAAATGCGTATTACGTTCAACTTTTTGACTTAAAATAGTATCGCTTAAACGTCAAAAATGTGATACAGGATATAATATTGATATGATCTTGATGTGACATAGGAATGTTTCATAATACCATCTAAAAACAATGTCAACTTGGCATCAACATCATATTGACATCACATTAGAATTTTATTACTGAAGCATAATTGACCCGCTGGCGACACCGCTCTATTGATAAATGGGTTTTTGGCGGGATTTCATCGAGTGCGGTTGGCGTCTTATTTTAATTATTCTTAAATTCGTACATAGTGGATATTGTGAAATAAAATTGGTGTGGTTTTGTGTATGAACTGTCTGCGTAACTGAAGAATTAGTGGAATCATTAAAATATACACTATTCCGGTCAAGTGGACGTGAGAATTTTATTGTAGTGTTGACTACCTCACAGAAGCTTATTGAAAAAGCTAACTCGATACATTTCGTGCCAAACACTCCAAGAAACATTAGAATGCGTCACACCGACATTCTAATGTAAAAATAAAAAGAAGATAAATTTAATTAAAGACCAGGCTGTATGGGCATTGTTCCCTTTGCCTTCCCTAAAACGGGAGAACTTCAACAAAAAAAAACCAAAAAAATGATAAATTGTTGTGATGTCAATTTCATTTGGTTACTTGATTTTCCTTCAAAACAAAAATGAGATTAAATGAAAACTCCAAGATAATTGGTAAAAATGTATACCTTGTGCCTTACCGAAGAGAGCATGTACCGAAGTAAATAATAAATTTAATATACAGCGTTAAATAACAGAAAATTTATTTGTAGGTTAATTGTTAGATTTATGTATTGTTGTAGAAGTGTTTAATTGAAATGAAATAAATTCCGACCATCTTACTATCTTTCAGTCTAAATATTCAAAGTCATCATGTTCAAAATGCAGTGGTAGTGGTACATATCGACCTAGAATTTTTTTTTCCAGGTATCATCAATGGATGACAAATGAGGAATTACGAAAACTAACAGCATCTGAACCATTGACTTTGGAAGAAGAATACGAAATGCAAAAGTCTTGGCATAGCGATGAAGACAGTAAATACTTAATACCTACATTATGCGTTATTTGTAGCACAATGCTGTAAAAATTTATGATGACAGCTTACTGGTTTTTTTTTTTAATTCCAGAGTGTACATTCATTATTCTGAATAAAGCTAAATTTGATGAGACGAGCAATGATGTCGGTAGGTAATATATTGAAATTTAACATTCTTTGAAATGAATAGCAAACAAATGAGACTATCATCTATGAATCATTAAATTTTGGTTACAGATTCTATGATTGGAGATACAAACATATTTATTCAAGGCATGAAAGAAGCAAAAGGTGAAATAGAAATAATGATTGCTGAAGAATCAGTCAGGGGTAAAAAACTTGGTTGGGAATCAGCTATTTTGATGTTATTGTATGGAATCCTATATATTGGTATCAAATCATATGAAGCTAAAATCTGTCTAACAAATGTAATAAGTATTCAAATGTTTAAGAAGTTGGGATTTGAAGAATATTCCAAAAGCGAAGTATTTCAAGAAATTACATTTAAAAAAGATGTGTCAACAAAATGGAACAACTGGTTGCAAGAACAATATAAATTAAATGTAATACCATTGAATAAAGAATCATAAGATAAAAGAAGAAAGTACCTGTTTATTATCCAACATAAATTAATGTTATCTAATTTATAAATTAAAGCTTTACTTTACACTGCAGGGTATCTCCAGTCTGGAAAGTCAGTGAAATCAAGGGACTGTCTGGAAAGTCAGGGAAAAATTAAAATTCTACAGTTTGGGCACGGTAATATTATCTATACAGTATTTTGAATCGGCCCTGTCCTTGAAATAAATGCCTACGGCTGAGCGCTGCGTTACACGCGGTAGGGCTGCCTGCCTACAGTATTTTAATTTCATCTACATAATTGAGTTTCTTTCTAGTTTTGTGATTGTAAATATTTTATTTTATATGTAAAGATTCGGAGGTCTTGACGACCTCCGTGGACGAGTGGTTTGTACTCCGGGTTCATGGTGTCGCCGACTCGAGAGGTCCCGGGTTCGAATCCCGCTGGGGGCAGATGTTTGTGTGAAGAATACGAGCATTTGTACTCCAGTCATGGATGTTTAATGTGTATTTATTCTATCCGTTACCCTAGCATCCCATAACACAAGCCATACAGTGCTTACTTTGGGGCTAGGCTAATTGGTGTGAGTGTTGGAAAAAAGTATAAAGTATAGTATATACCCATATCGTAGGAATGCATTAAAAATAACTATTCCGCCATGTTGGATTTATAATGACGTCACACAGCTAACCGTGTATATACAAAATTTCCGCTTAACCGGTTGAAGATATCTGCTTCAAAATTGAGTTGCAAGATTCCACCCGAACAAACATAGTTACATACCTACCTATATTGCAAGTCAATTAAAAGCTTGTAAAAAAAACCGGCTGCTGATTTATTCTTACATAATTCAATAAAAGAAAATTATTTTAAACATACAAGTTATATTCATTTGTAAGTCATGGCGAATTTTTTTGAAATTACCTACAATGTAGGTAAATCTTGCTAGGTAGGTACTGTAGGGATCGTTTCATGCAAACTAATTATTGTCATTGAAACACTTTTATTTTCAAGAAATTACATTATTATTATCAATAAACAAAATACTGTTTTTTAAACTCCGCACAAATCTCCCTATTTATTATTTCCCAGCTATCAATTCCTGTCAACAATCCGTCTCTTTTCTAAATTACTTAAATGCGATTCAACTAAGAATAGGACCGGCTGGTCGCCATATTGTGATGTCATAGCTGTCAATTCAAACCAAATAGGTAGTGTGAGCATAAAATAGTGTTTATTTAATAAAATTTATTTACTAAGATTAAGTGAGAAAAACCACCAGATATTTTTAATAACATTTATTTACTAAGATTGAGAAAAAAAAAACACTGATTTTTAATAATATTTATTTATGAAGACTGAGAAAAAACATTAACCAGAATCTAGCTCATTCTATTCCGCTCATCTCTGCATTACCGCTGGAGTAGTTATGAATAATCATGCACTATTACTAGGTCACATACGAACATGCATCTTAAATGTAAAGTTTAAAATCGAGTTTCTGAACGCAACTTATAGTGACATTTGGTTGACAGATACATATTTGGCCATGGCCATGGTCAAAACTCATAAGTGAAAAAAAAACAACCGATATTAATTATCAATATTTGTTATTGTTTGTTTACAAATGTTTGGTTTTTATTCTAGAATTAGCGGAGTAATAATAAAGGGTTCCAAGATTTTTTTGCAAACCGTACTTTTCAAGCGACATTTGACAGATAGAGGTCATTGTCATTCCTATTCTTATTTTAATCGCATTATACCTAGGGTTGCAACGATATATCGATAATATCGAGACCTAATTACCGATATTTAAAATTCACTGATATCGATAATATCGATATCGGATATTCCAAAATATCGATATTTCGTAGACTAAATTTGAACTCAATAATATCAATTAATTTATTTGCTATGACTATCTAAATTGAATAATATCGAAATAACTATTGCTTTAAAATCGCTAGAGCTTTTAGATGTATTAAAAAAATTAAAATTCTAAACATAGAGAATCATGCCATAATACATATACAAAAACACTACACAAAACACTTAGGCGTCTATATCGCACGGAAAAACACAATTTTTGTTAGGTGGTCGTAAGACGACCTCACACTAGGCATGGGTCCGATATATCAAAACGAATCCAAAATCCGATTTCAAACACAAATCGATACCGAACGATTTCTCAACATGAAAATCCGATTTCAGAAATCTAACCGAACCAAAACGCCAGCGATCTAATACCACCACAAGTATCCAAATGTAAATCGGATTCGAAATTCATACTATCTTTTTTACTCCGCTATGTAGCGATTGGTTAGAAAGAGAGAAAGTGAATTTCTTTGTATCTTTTTTACCAATCGTAACAAAGCGGAGTAAAAAAGATGGCGCAAATTTCGGAAGTCCGATTTCGGTTTGTTGTTTAAGGAAATCTGTTGCTCTTCTCTAAGGGTGCGGCCAGAGTGCACTCAGATTCAGATTAAGATTCCGAAAACAAGCGCGAGAAATAAACAGTGTAGTCGAAGGGTACGGCCAGAGTGCACTCCTGATTCAGATTCAGACTCAGAAAAGAAAGCAGGCAACCTGCTTAGACTACACTGTTTATTTCTCGCGCTTGTTTTCGGAATCTGAATCTGATACTGAGTGCACTCTGGCCGCACCCTAAGGCGGGATTATTTATCACTGAAAAGATGTGTTATCTAAAAACATCAAAAGTCGAGCAACTTACATTTATGAACCCTAACCTGAAGGAATTAGGTTTGATTATGTAAATGGTTTGAAAAATAATAAAAACAAACAGAAAAATAAAATTCATCAAAAAAAAATACTAAAAAAAAATTGTAAAAAGAAGTCATTTCCCGTTTTTTTAGCTTATAAAACCAAATCTTAACGCAAACTAGTGAATTGGCTAAGTTAGGCACATCTGAAATCGGATATCTAAAAACGGATTTTGAAATCTGAAATATATCCGTTTGCGTTCAAAACCAAAAACGCCCATGTCTACCTCCCACGCGAACGCGGAGGAGGGTATTTCGGTTTTCACTCGGCACTGTGGGGCAGACGGGCTCAACGACGAGCGGAGTCACGCGACCTACACCACAACGGCGACACGAGGAGAACTCTCTTTATTAGTTAGGTGACGTTTTGCCTATATGTAGCTCCAAACATATTTACAAGCGCAACGAACTACAGCGCCATCTATTTTGATACATATGAACTAAAATTTTAAATGCACAAATGGCGTATACATAATCGCCCACCAAGGACAAACTGAGATTTGTCCTCACAAATATTTAACTTAACAACATGACTTTGTTATCGCCCACCATGACAATAAAAACACTAAGATGTACAATAACTTAAAATAATATATTTATGCACATCTGAAATTGACTATTGTAAAAAGTTTAATGTAAAATATTTCGTCGATTAGTTATAATAAATGTATATGAAATGAATAAATATATATTTATATATGTATATTATTTTCATTAATTTGTAAATTTACCCTTTCATACAGTATCAATCTTTTTAAGTTAAGTTTTAAGTTAAATAAACTCTTTTTGCATCTGGTTAGACTATCGAACTTAAGGAGTAAACCACAGGAGTAAACTCCAGTCGTGCGTCGGAGCTAACACACACATTTTTTTTTCATGCTAGCATACACGTCAAAATGCAGTTATCCTAGAAGTAGAGATGTTCATGAAATAAATATCGATATTTTTGAAGTTATACTTCTTTAGGCGCGTTATGAAAAAATGATGAGAGTGAAATTTTAAGATGCGCGCGCATCACTGTAACACAAAAATTAACAGCATGAAGTTGGTCGCTTTAGCGACCAACTTCATGCTGTTACTTTTGTGTTTACCGCACATTAAGAAAATCTACCAACAAAATAGAATCTCTATTTAGTGGGTGCTAACGACTGCATTGTGAAGGCCTATCAAAAGTATTTATTAATCTGGAACAACGGAACCAAAGCGCGATTCAGGAGACTACAGCGCCATCTCTTGACCATTGTAATTTGTAATAAAGTAACAGTTATAGGTATTCATATTTATAATATTTATCCACATGTTTCTAGTTTGTATATTCGGAATACGTGTTTGAGTTTCATACAAGTGCAAATCACATATGTTCTAATAAATTATATTCAGTAGCGATTTTAATTGAATACTTTGATTATTTATTTATTTTTTCAAATTAAAACTGAACTTTATTGACTGTGTCCTTTTCCAGACTTTTTATTAATTTATTGTCATTAATTATTTGCATGCAATTAAAAACTAATTTTAAACGATGCCAAAAAAGGATAACTTCTCACGCGCCTACATAAGTACACGCACCCATTTTTTTTTATTCAATATATTATACGTAGTGTTATATCGATATTTTGCAAAATATTCTACAAATATATCGACATGTTCGATTTATAGTAATTTATTTATTTGTGGTTTAATAAATTTAATTTTAAGCATTAATCTGCTCGATTTATAAATCTTAAGAAAAAAACCTGTCATCTGCTGTCCGGGCAGAGGCACGAACCGCCATGCTACTGAGTTTCTTTTAGTGTTTCTTAGGCTGCAAGACAGTGTCATTTCTACGAATTGTAGGTAAACCACAATGTCAAATGAATTTATAAGTATTACAACATTTAAAAGACAAAGCAATTTGTCGTTTATTTTATTTAATATTTAAATATAAATCTGTTCGATTAAAAATCAAACGAAAAAATTACTCGTAGGCTAGTTGACCCTTTTTGGAAAAAGGTTGTAAATGGTTAATTAATGTTCTAGTAGACCGAAAAAAAATGTATTGTAATTTTTTGAGACCTAGAAAGCTACAAATCTTTAATTTTAAAATAGAATTTTCATGGACATACAAAAACGCTGTCGGCCATTTTAGTCTATAGATTGTCTATGCTATGATGTCAACTGTAGTAAACAAAAACTCGTAAGCACGTAGAAAATAACTTATCTGAGTTTATAATAAAAAGAACATGATTTCTTATAAATACCACGAAAAATAAAGTAATTATCATTATTGTATTGTACGAGAATATAAAAACACATCCTTGAAGACAACAGGAATGTTGTGGATTTAAGTGCCGAAAGAAATTAACCTACGCAACTTTATTACACTTATTCATATGTTGTATCAGTTTTATGTTTATTACTACATTGTAATAATAAATGCACTGTACTTACATAGATGCCTTATCGTTTCTCTGCTCCGCAGAACAGAAATCGGGGTTTAGTGCAAAAAATTCGCCAACCATCAATGCGTCAATTCTTGGCAGCTTTCTGCTTTCACAAAGTCGGCATCCATAATTACTTTTGTCAAAAAAAATGGTTGCCTGTAAAGTCGGTTTTACGGGCGAAGATTTTACGTGACAACGTCTTTTTCTCGGTAGAATATTTATTGGATATGAATATAATTAAATTGCACAATAGGAACAAGGA